CTCTCTCTCGGTGCGGCAAGTATGATTCTCTTGCCTGCTTACGCTTGACGTTGTCTCACGTGTGTGACGGTGCATGGTAGAGCACGGCATGTACTTGCCTCGACGGCACGCTTGTTCTTGTATGACGCCCCTTTGTGAGTCAAGTGCCTGGTGCGGATGGGTCATCAGGTCTGTCGAGACATGCTGGACGGGGCAATGTCGAGGTTCCCGGGATGATCTGACAGGACACCTCTCTGTTCTCTTCTGCCTTCGGAGGAGAGGAGGGAAGGTTCTCTGGATGGAATCTCCTTCTTTTTTTGGTGTGTTCTCCCCTCACTCGGGCTCATGTCGGCCCCGAGGTCATCGACTGTGGCACCCTCCTGCGTCTCCTGCGCCTCCGGCAGATGTCTCCCCTGCTGCGTCCGGCCACCGACAGGATACCGTCTGACCTGGCCGCACACCAGGCAGCGTACCGTCAGCACGTCGGCCCAAGGCTTCCTGCCGCCCCTGCTGGCGTTCTCGACGGTGGTGCGCGACGTCTGGCCCTCGACGAGCAGCGAGTCGCACGACCTGCACATCGTCGACTTCATGGCCGGGCTGTGGCGGACCTGGGCCTTTAGCGATATGGACCTGATGTCTGATGTCATTCTGCGGGAGAGGTTGCGTGCCGCTCTCCTTCCTGCCCCGCTCGACACGGTTGCCGTCCTCGAACCGGCGGGGGGAGAAGAGCCGGGGGAGGAAAGCTGACCATCCTGCTGCTGCCGGTCCCGAGGGGTGGTGGTGGTGATGGCGGCTTGGGCTAGATAGTTGGCTGCTTGATAGAGGTAGGAGGCTCTCGCGTATACGTGCCGGTTGACTACCGACGGCTGAGCCGTCTTCTTGGCCATTGCTGTCAAGGTTGTGTGGGAGGATGAATCCTCAACTCTGATTAAAGTACGGTATCACCGCCTGTACGGAGTATCACACTTGGTGACTTTCATCTACTCATATATAAAATAAGATAAAAACATTTTTTTTTTAAAAAAAAAAAACAGTTAAAACATTATTAAAAAAAAAACTTAAGAAAATATTCTAGGTAAAGCTTCTCAGGCAAAAAAAACACTATTCCTGTTCGGGAATCTGACTCCTTCCATTGAAGTCATCACGTGATTTTACACGCTCCCGACGTGGGCGCCCCCCAATTGCCATTGAATCCCTCTCGCCCTTGCGTAGCCAACCTTTCTCCCAGGCCAGCCTCACTCTCTCTCTATAGCTTCGGGTCATTGTCAACCTCTGTTCCATTCCAGTCCGGAACAACCACTCTTTGTCGCCTTTTCGTTGGTGCCATAATCATCCTTCCCTTTCTTTCTTTCTTCTTTCTTCATTCTTATTCTCGAGTCTAGCTGCGATCTTGCGCGAGTCTCAACTCTTGAAGCTTCCCTTTTTTTTTTAACCCCCTTCTCGATCACCCGTCAACAGAACCCGGACGACGAAACAGCCGACAAACCTTGTCATCAACAACCACCCGCGCCAAGGTTTTTTTCTCTCTCTCACCACCGATTGCCAAAATGTCTCACGAAGAGGATCTCATCGACTACTCCGACGAGGAGTTCGGCGGCAACGACACGGCCGCCGCCTCCAACGGCAAGAAGGCTGAGGCCGCCGCCGCTACAAACGTCGACAAGAAGGGCAGCTACGTCGGTATTCACTCGACTGGTTTCCGTGACTTCCTCCTCAAGCCCGAGTTGATCCGTGCCATTGGCGACTGCGGTTTCGAGCATCCTTCGGAGGGTCAGTCCTGAATAATTCTAATACCCCCGTGTCCACATCCATCAAAAAAAAAAAAGAAAAGAACAATCCCCTCCTTTGAAGCGTCCGTCCGTCCATCTCGCAAAAGCAAGAAGAGCAATCCGCACACGCATGGCCGGTTCAAATGTGAAGAAGAACTGCACGAAACCTCCCTTCCCTCCCCCCCCCAAAAAAAGGGAACAAGAAGGCGCTGCCTTTTTTGTTTTGTTTCCAGTCCAGGGTCCTCATGGCGGATGCGACGAGCCTCAAGTATGGCAAAATCGATCCATGTGAGAGGGAGGGTTCACAAGGACTTTACCGTCCTTGTCCTACCTCCGGGCTGCAGGCGCAGCAGCGTTCAACGTGTCGGTTGATCGCACAAAGTGCGCAGCATCCATCTCCGCATGGTTGCTTCGTCACAAGCAGGAAGGGGACACAGGCTTAGGGTCATCTCTGGCCTGCCATTTCCTCCTCTGGAACGTACCACTCGTCTTTGGTTCGCGGGACATCCATCGTCCCGCGCGCATGAGCCAGCATTCGAAGTGTAGGGAGGTGGCTTCCGTTCGGGGAGGTCATCGCTTGTCCCTGATAGCTCCACGCGAATCCCACCCGCGCGCGATATTGCTGGCTTATGTTCAGCTTTGCGGTCACGGTTTATGAATCGCGCCTTGTGTGCCACGGAGAAAGACAGAAAAAAAAAGCTGCGACGATGGACGGACGAAATACCCTTTTCTTTCTTTCTTTCTTTTTTTTTTTTTTTTGCACACAGAGTCGGAAAAAAAAACACTCATCGTCCGTTTGTTACTTGCGAATCCATATCTAACGTCCTCTCGATCGACAGTTCAACAAACCTGCATTCCCCAGGCTCTTCTTGGTGGTGATATCATCTGCCAGGCCAAGTCTGGCCTGGGTAAGACTGCCGTTTTCGTCCTGGCCACCCTTCAACAGATTGAGCCAGTCAACGGCGACGTCTCGGTGGTTGTCATGTGCCACACCCGTGAGCTGGCCTACCAGATTCGCGACGAGTACAACCGCTTCAGCAAGTACATGCCCGACATCAAGACTGGCGTCTTCTACGGTGGTACCCCCATCAAGACGGACATTGAGACCCTCAAGAACAAGGAGACGTGCCCCCACATCATCGTCGGTACCCCCGGCCGTCTCAAGGCTCTCGTACGCGACAAGGCCCTCCGCCTCGGCAGCGTCCGCATCTTTGTCCTCGACGAGTGCGACAAGATGCTCGACCAGCCTGGTAAGCTTCGACCCTCCCTCCCCACGCGCCAGCACGGAATCTAGAGAGGGAGGGCTCTTGACTGACCGCCCCAACCGCAGACATGCGCACCGACGTCCAGGACGTTTTCCGTGCCACTCCTCCTCAGAAGCAGGTGATGATGTTCTCCGCCACCCTGGCCGAGCACATCAAGCCCATCTGCCGGAAGTTCATGCAGAACCCCACGGAGCACTACGTCGACGAGGACACCAAGCTCACCCTCCACGGTCTCCAGCAGTACTACATCAAGCTGGAGGAGAGGGAGAAGAACCGCAAGCTCAACGAGCTCCTAGATGACCTCCAGTTCAACCAGGTCATCATCTTTGTCAGGAGCACCGTCCGCGCCACGGAGCTGGACAAGCTTCTGAGGGAGTGCAACTTTCCCTCTATTGCTGTCCACTCCGGTGTCAGCCAAGAGGAGCGGTATGTTTTCTCTCCTACCGCACTCTGTTTTTTCGACCTTGCCATTGATTCTTTTTTTTTTTCTATTCTTCTTCTTTTCCTTCATTTTGATATGATTCTCATCTTTCCAATGGATAAATTCTAACTTTGGTATAGTATCCGCCGCTACAAGGAGTTCAAGGAGTTCAAGAAGAGAATCTGTGTTGCCACCGACGTCTTTGGCCGTGGTATCGACATAGAGCGCATCAACCTGGCCATCAACTACGACCTGTCGAGCGACGCCAGCTCTTACCTCCACCGTGTCGGCCGTGCGGGTCGTTTCGGCACCAAGGGTCTTGCCATCTCGTTTGTGAGCAGCGATCAGGACCAGGAGATTCTCAAGGAGATTGAGAAGCGCTTCGAGGTTGCTCTTCCGTATGTATCTCTCTTCTTCCCCCCTTCATTTCCCTCTCTACCCTTCTTGCCTTTGCATGTTAAGTCCACTAACGATTTCTGCAGCGAGTTCCCCAAGGAGGGTGTCGACGCCAGCACCTACATGGCCTCTTAGATGTCTTTTTAGCAGCAGTGCTGTGCTGCTGATACTTGGTGGCTACCTCGAAGACATGATTGGTCAAGATTGGAGCTGCATGTGACTTTTTGTTTTGTTTTCAATCTTTAAACGGGAGGAGGATGAATAGGAGGCAAAGAAATCTATTTCTTCCATGTGCGTGAAAGGATCGAGTATTCCGGAAAATGAAGATGAATTGTGATGGAAGTCTCTTACACATGCGATTGTGTTGGTCGTTGTGTGCCCCCCCCCCCCCTCCCCCCCTCTCTTCCACTCTGGAGGGATGCTTTCTTATGTTGGCAAATACTTGAAATTCCACCTTTCAAGGCTTTTGCCACGTGGATGGACGTCTATTCACGTTAGGCGAGGGCTGATAGATGTTTCTTATTTTTTTCTTCTTCTGGTTGTTGTCCTATCGTTCCTACTGACGTTTTCTCTCTCTCTCTCTCTTTGTTCCTGCTGACGCCAGGCTTTGGCGTGATGCTGTAAGCGCCTAGATGTAGAGACAGAGAAGAGCGTGAAGGAGCCTACGAGGTGAGACTTTGTGCAACATCATCTCTGACTACCTACCCTCTATGCTCGTATACGATTCACGGGGATGACGGCTTAGTATTATTATTCCATTTCCCTTTTTCTCTTTTGACACGTTGAATATTATTATGGTTCACCCCCTCCCCCCCCCGTTGTCCCCTGTCCCCTGTCCCCTGTCCCTTGTATATAAAGTCACGGGTTTGCTATTGTCATAGTGGATTCTGATCTAGGTGAGTCATTGTTCAGTGGGAAACCCGAGGTCGGGTCACGATGATGGATGGGGATCATTAGTTCTTGGCATTGGTTATGCCTAGGCAGATGAAGTCATGATTGGGGGAGGGGTCAGTTGATTATCTATTATTTCGTGTCATGAGATAGTGGGGGGACGTGAGGTTCAAAAAAAAAAAATGGATGGAAGGATGGAGGCGGGCGGTGCAAGTTTCACGATTCACACTGAGGGAAAGTCAAGTCATGCCTCTCTCTTCATAGTGACTATTACGTACGAGAACTATAATACGCCCCTGTGTATGTGTGTGTGTATGTGTGTGTGTGTGTGTGTAGTCTTCAGAGTCTTTTCTGTTATCTACAGGTTTGGGAATCACGTAGATTGACAATGGCGGTAAGGGAGACAGACCAGTTCCCATACTTTTTTTTCTTCTGTTGGTTTTACACAATATCGTTGACATGATTTCAGCATGAACTGATTACGTAGGTACGTGACAGGGTTGTTCCTGTTTCTGCTCGTTACGTCGGTCTTTCGTTGTTACAGTACGTCGTTTATCGGCGTCGACGGATTAGGCGGTCTGGCGATATCCTACAGAGATGGCTCTTCTACTCGTGTACACACACACATAGAGAGATAGAGAGAGAGAGAGCGAGACAGTGAGGAGATGGGGAGGGAGGGAGGGAGGGAGCAGATTCGAGTCCTAATGACCAACATGGTCTAGTAAAAGAATACGGGTGCATCCATACCCGATGGTCCAAAGTCCAGGTTGTGCCGTCCGTGGTGGTGAGGGGGGTTCATGCGGGGACACGTCGTCTAGGAGACAGGGAAGTTTGTTGTGTGCGAGTTGATGGTTGCGGGGACGGAAGAGGCCATCATTACTAGACTAGTCAGTCCGTAGGAGTATTACGAGTATCGGTACTATCAGTGCTGACAAGACCTTGCAAGTTCGGTCTACATGCCTGGGAGGAGTGAACATTTCTTCACTCTCCGTCACACTCTCCGTCTACGAATATGTAGGTAGATTTACCGTAGGTAGAGTGGAAAAGAAGGTGAATTACCTGTGGACTGGGCGCCCCCCCCCCCCCCCCCCCCCCCCCNTCTCCGTCTACGAATATGTAGGTAGATTTACCGTAGGTAGAGTGGAAAAGAAGGTGAATTACCTGTGGACTGGGCGCCCCCCCCCCCCCCCCCCCTCCCCCTAGTCACCAGGGTGGGGGACCGTACTCTGGTATGTACGGACTGAAGATATACCGTACGAGAGAGGGAGGGAGGGCAGAAGAGGATGTGTCGGCTGTTCTGTCGAGAGAATTCAACGCGTCAGGAGGCTGAAAGAGGGCATTACGGCTACATCGATGTATCGGACAGAAGACCAGTCTGATGCGCGCGGGAAGGGTAGATTTGTTCATGTACAGATGGACAGGACGTGCAGAGTATTATTACAGCATGGGAGGTATCGCCATCACCATGGGAGGGTACGGGCACGACAATACAGGAATATAGACCGAGAACTTGTGTATATACAAAGTAGGAGAGTAGGAGGGGAGAGGGTAAGGGAGCGGGGTCGAAAGCATCAGCTACTACTTACGGTGATGGTGGCACACAGATAGATGACGCCGTGTCAATAATAATGATTTGTCTACAGATCATCTGGAGATTTTCCATCTCTCTCTCTCTCTCTCCATCCTCCCTTTCCCATCATTCATTTTCTCTTCTTTTATTCTTCTTCTTTTTTTTTTTTAAACCCCCCCCCCCTTTCTCAATATTATGTCTAGACCCTTGAGAAAATTTCACGGTTACAGTCATCATTTTATGTGTATCTTGTTTACGAAACGGCGTAGATGGATGACCCGACCCGAGGTCGTACGATTGTAGATTGTAGCGGTATCACCTGCATCTGTATTACCCTGTACAAGCAGTACGGGAGGTTGGACTGGAGGATCCACGATATATGAGAGAGGCTGTGAGTTATTGCTACTGCGAAGTAGAGAGTTCGTACAGTCTCGGCTGAGCCGGAACAGGCCGGAGGTCATGCTCGTGTTCCGGGACGACGAGGAGATGACCAAGGGTGAGTAAGCGCCGAGCAGTCGCTGAGCACCAAGTGCCGAACAGAGCACCGAAAGAGAAGGCAAGAATCCACAGCTCCCGGTACGAGCTGTACTCACTCGTACAGGGCAATCTGTAGACACTGTCATGATTGTCTTTGTCATTTCTCTCACTCCTCCCTTGCCCTCGTTTCGCTCCGATCCCGTTGTAGTGATGGATATCGATGATATCGATACTGCCCAGCAGTACGGATGGTGGTATCGGGAATATATAATCATGATAGGACACCATCCTGCTCTACGTCTTCGTAAAATCCTGGGAAATCATTGCCTAGCACTGGGAGAGAGGGAAAAAAAAAAAACTAAGAACCAAACCGATGTACCCACTTACACCTCGGGAACAGAAAGATGAGATCATTCGGAATCGCTCACTCCGACCAATGATCTGTAGGTCACCCTACATCCCCCCCTCCCTCGTCTTTCCATCTTGCCATCCCTCCACCTTCTCACTCTGCACCCCCCCTCCCAAAAGCCACCGAAAGAAAGGGAGAGAAAAGAATACGCCCCCCTCGATCCACCCAATACAAGGCTCAAATGATGGTGGGAAGTGGGTGTGTGTGGGCTGTGTGTGGTCTGGCTTTTTTTTCCTGGAGGCAAATGGCAAAAAACGGCAAAGAAGGAGCCCCAAAGTCGAATATGTCTCGATCGACAAGATTTGTCCCCGTTCTATGTTGGAGGGGTAATACAAAACACACATACGGACACGCACTCAGACAAACGTGCATACACTCAGACATTCATATATACGTGAGATTGTAACACGCTACACACCACAATCACACACCATACACCACAAACACACGCGCGCGTAACAAATCGGACCCACTGATATTTTCTCTCTCTCTCTCTCTTCTTCTTGCACTCACAGGGCCATGGTACGACACATTTCCGTATCACTACTATCATCTACCATCTACCGTTGAAGCACACAGTTCTTCGCTACAGGTACTCTCCCCTACCAGTACGAGTACTCCGTAGCAGTGCTCCGTAGATACGGCAGCTATGGCTGGGAGAACTAGATTGAGACTCGAGAGAGATGAGAGGCCTCTCGTCAGCCGGAGAGGGGGGCAGAGGGCCAAGGCCTTGCAGAGTGCAGGCTTATAGAGAGGTACAGAATGGAAGTACAGATTACGGTACGAAGAGATTGAAAAGATGAGACCCATAATTTGTGAGGAGGAGTCATGGACGCGTGGGGACGGGGGTGGGCTTCTTCGGCGGCGGAGTCCTGTGAATGTGTGAGTAAGTGAGTGAGTTGAGTGAGTGAGTTGAGTGAGTGAGTTGAGTGAGTGTGAGTGTGTGTGAGAGAGAGAGAGAGTGCGTGTGTGATCTGGGTTGTAATGTGTGATCTCTTCCTTCTCTGTCGGTTTCGTCTCCGTCTCTCCCTTCCTTCCCTCTCTTTCCGCCGACTCCGGTGATCGGAAGCAGCAGACGGTCGCAGAAGCCGTACGGGGAGCTCTGACCGGGCTTGACAGTTTCCCAGCTGACATCATATCGAATCGTAAAGAGAGCGGGAGGGAGGGACAGAGGAAGAGTTAGTTTTAGAGATGGAAAGAGTAGGGGGGAGGAAGAGAATAGAAGAGAACGGAAGAGAAAGGAGGTGCTGCGTAGAGACACGTTGCATATCATCAAGGCAAAACAAGGTACGCGGTGGCGACGCGTGAAGAAGACCCAACGAGGCGAACTGGAGTCACGGGCATGCTGAATAGTCGACCCGGCCAGCAGTCTAGGCGTGCTGTTAAATTACCTGTACATAGTCGTACCGTATGTACATTACGTGCGGCCGCATATGCACAAAGAGGCAGTGCGCTGTACGAGTCTTGAAGGCAGTGCAGTCGCCGGCAGTGCTGGCTCTAAGAGGGTCCAAGGTCGTTCGTTGACCAGAGCGTGCTCCAGTGTTCGCCACCGTTCTGGTTACTACACGCAAATAACACAAGACTCATGCGCGTCGTCCGCCTCACCACAGCCCATTCTCGCCTTTCGTTTTTGATGGCAGGGGTGGCGGGGTGGCAGGGATGGTAGAGGAAGAGGAAGAGAGGGGGGGGGAAGGGGGGAAGGCTGGGAGCAATACGACCAATCGGAGACGGCCTTTTTGACTGTCTCCCCCCCTCTTCCCCAAAAAGGTGGGAAGGTACAGATTGCAGCAGTAGCAAGTGTGAAGTATTATCGGTTGGATTGCAAGGTGATTCTGTGTGTGTGTGTCCCCTCCTCCCTCCCAATAATTCCTACCTATACAAGCCTACGAGGCACCCTATAGGCTACGGCAGAGGGCCTTCGAAGGCATGGGCCACCACACCTGAATGGACAGCGAGAGCTGTGAGTCCACCGATAGTCTTCTACTAGAATTGGTCCCTGCTGGCCTGAAGCGTATGAGTCTTACTTTTTGGCCAGCTCTCGAGCCAGGGTCTGTAATATCTTTTTCCTCAAAACAGCCATACGCCCTTCATCCGGCCTTTTTTCATTTCTCTCCCTCCCCCCCCCCCCCCCCCCCCCTTCCCTCTCTCCCACTCCTCGACGTCGCCGCAATGAACTCCGTCATCGCCCTCGTCTGAACCTGACGGCAGAACGAGCATCTCGCTGTCGTCTGGTCTGGAGATTATCGACACCGGGCGCACCCTTATTGTCCCTTCTTCTTCTTCTTGTCTTCTTCTATTCTTCTGTTGAATTTTTTTTTTTTTTTTTACCTTAATTCCTCCTGGATTTTGGCCACTCGCAGCGGCATTCACTTGTACCTTGCGACCATCACCCAACGAGTCATAACGACCCGAAAGAAAAATAAGAGACAAACGGTCAAAAAAGCTCCATCACGACTACGAACCTCGCATCTTGTCTTTTTCTTCCTTTTCTTTCCTGATATAACATCTTGTTGTCTTGCTCTTCCCCTCCCACCCGCCATCTCTTCATTTATTCTCTGTTCTTCTTTTTTTCCTTTATCTATACCATTACCCTTTTTCGATAATAACCTCCTAACCTTTTGCCACCCAAGCAATTCGGCTTGGGTCTCCACGTTATTACTCTCGCCTCCCGAACAACGGCCTCTGGCTCTGGCTTCTCGCCACCCGAACGAGTCACACCACTCAATATTCCCCTTCTCGGCCAGGCTGTCATCAATACGTAGCCTGACTAGACCTTCAAGTCTTGCTTTGGCTATTTTTATTTGCCGCCTTGTTCGTCCTTTCCGAATCGTCAGGGTAGACAAGAGACAGAGTCGCACCTTGCCTCCCGAGCTCTGTCCAACATTCTCTTCTCTTGTCTCTCTCTATCTCTCTCTCTCTCTTGTCTCTCTCGTATCATATATCTTCGCCCCTACGTCCCTCACTCCTACGTCTTACTTCCTCGAGTGATAGGGATCCTCGTCACTCGACCGTATCCTTGGCTCGAGTCATCATCTCTCTCTCCCCTTTCTTACCTCGGTCGACCCTTGATCTTGATCGTGGTCCTGCTACCTGTGGACTACCATCGATCATCCGCCATCTCTCTCTCTTTTCCACCAACAAATGAAAAAAAAAACAACAACTCATTCTTGACGCATTCTCGCGATGCCTCTTGAACGTCACGTCCTTTACCCAGTCACCGTCTCTGCCTCGTCTTCCGGTCTCCGCGTTTTTGTAAAGCCGACTGTCGACTCGCTCGCGTAAGACGATCGAATCTACCCCCCACAAATCGCCTTTGCATACCCGGACATACTCCCGCTGCATGCGCCCACGAATCACACCCTCTCGTGTGCGAGCCGCGGACTTGGACCATAATTCGACCTGGTTTACTCGATTTCTCTATCAACGGTAACAGAGCAACGCCTGATTGGTTGGCAACGGCCTCAGACGGTGACTAGAAACACAGCGCACGCCATATCGGGCTTGAACGCATGCACCGCACACACGCAAGCATACACGTATCGCGCCTCGTGCCGAGCACCTTTCTCCCGTGTCCTATCATCTCTCACGCATCCATATAAACCCCTTTCAAGATGACGTCCTACGACGAGAATGTCTCGCCCGGCTTCGTGCATCCCTTCCGCCACAACGACATATACAATACATCTATAGCCACCTCGGCCTCGGCATCCACCGCCTCCGTGTGGTCCGACGCCTCCTCCCAGTCTTCCGATATCTCGTCCCAGACGTCTGACGATGGCTCCTTTTCGGGTACCTCGTCCGACGGCGAGTCGTGCGACTCGTACTGTGGCGCCACGACGAAGCAGCCGGCCCGCGTCCCGGCCCAGCAGCTGCCCCAGCCCGCCCCCGTTCCTGCAGAGCTCCGCAAGAACCCGCGCCGCACCGCTGCTGGGGCCAGCAGCCGGCCTTGCCCTCCCACCCTGTTCCGACAGGAGGACCGCAAGAACAGTTTCGTCGACAACCTTGTCGGTAGGTCGCGACAGCACATCACCCTTCTCCCTCCCCCCCTGACATCCCGGGAACTGCTCCGTGCTCATAACCTCGCTCTCAACCCATGCAGATTCCTCTACCCAGATCGTCGAGGCCATCTGGCCCACATCGTCGACCATCTGCCGCAACGAGACTGGCCGCCGCGACGTGCTCCCTCTCCGCATGTTCATCCAGGAGACGCTGCGCCGCTCGCGCACCAGCTACTCGACCCTCCAGGTCGCCCTGTACTACCTGGTGCTCATCAAACCCCGCATCCCCTCCCAGAATTTCACCACGGAGCAGGTCGACGACCGCCTGTCCACCCAGGCTCTCCAGTGCGGCCGCCGCATGTTCCTGGCCGCCCTGATCCTGGCCTCGAAGTACTTGCAGGACCGCAACTACTCGGCCCGTGCTTGGAGCAAGATCTCGGGACTCAACACCCACGAGATCAACCAGAACGAGATGGCCTTCTTGTACGCCGTCAACTGGAAGCTCCACATCTGCGACGACGTCTTCCGTCGCTGGACCGACATCGTCCTCAAGCACACCCCGCCCTCCGTGCCGCCGTCTCCCGGCGCGGCCACCTCGCCGCTCGTCATCTCGCAGCAGGAGAGCTGGAGGCACATCATCCTGGGCCTCGACACGGAGCTGACCAACATTGAGAAGCTGACCAGCACCTCCAAGTCGGCCGTCAGCCCCAAGCCGAGGAGGGGCAGCCAGGTGGCCCCCTGGCCCCGGGCGCTCCTCAACAGCGTCACCCCCCACGACGCCCGCCCCGTCCAGAGCTGCCCCGACGTGGCCGCCGCCAAGACGTACGCCGCCCCCATGGTCATGGAGCCCACGCCGACGTCGGCCTACACGCCCGGTCGCTGGGCACCATCCCTGACCCTCCTGCCCACGCCGCGCCTGACACCTCGGGTGAGCGGAGGACTCTGCACCCCTGCCGCGGGTGCCGCCGTCCCCCCTCCCACGGCGTCCAGGAGGGGCTCCATGTGCATGGCCATGTCCCAGGCCAGCAACGTCACCGCTTCCCAGTACCTGGATCGCCCTCCGCCTTCGCTCGCGTCGTCGCCGCAGTCGTTCTGCCCGGCGCGTCGCTCGTCCCTGGCCAACTCGGTCTCGACGACGTCGTCGCCCGAGTCCATGGTGTCGGACATGTCCCGTTCCTCCCGCTCCTCCTCCATCTCCTCTGCGTCGTCTCTGGCTAGCGCGACCGTGCACTCCAAGATGAGTGCGTCGTCGCGATTCCGAGGCGCGAAGCCGAGTGTCAGTGAGAGGTTGAGACTGAAGCCTACGGTTCCCTCCGTCCCCGAGGACTACGGCGAGCACGTCATCTTCCGGTCGCCGTCCCCCACCGACTCGTATACGGGTCCGGTCGGAAGGCCCGCGGGGTACAGCTCCGCTGCTGGTAGAAGCCGCCCGTTGGCGGGGCGGAAGCGCCACGTCGACGACATGGCCACGGATCCGGCATCGGACGCTGCACGGGCACTGCAGGACCTCCACGACTACGGAGGTTATGTCGACGCCACGGCGGCGGCGGCGGCCGCTGCCGCCGCCAGCAAGTACCCGTACGAGAATCTGCCGCTCCAGCACGATGTGCGCGACCTTCTCCGCGGTGCTTGCACGCCCTGGCCCAATACGCTCGTGCGCTCGCGCGGCTTCGTGTCCGACTCGAATCTTCAGCACCAGAGGAAACGCGTCTGCTGCGCTACCGAGGCCACCAACGGTTTCGAGGCGGCCTCTGCCTCGCAGCCCGGTCTCGGTCTCCGCGGCCCGGGCATGTGGCAGAGCATCCTCAACTAGGGCTGCTACTCGACGATGACCAGCTGGCAGCGACCGCCCTCTTCCTGGTCAAATCACCCATGCGTGATGTATTATGGGTGGTGCATACCAACCAGGGTACGGTCTGAATCCACGAACCCCTCGATTGCGGGAATCGTGGGTATCAACTACTACCCCACAAGAATATTCCCTCCTTCTTTTCTCTTCCCCTTTGTCAGATACAACCCCTCTCCCACGAGAGGGGGGGAGGAGGGGGGGGGGGCGTTGGTCCCCCTCCCCCCCTCAAAAAAAAAAAAAAGAAAAAGAACGTCCTTCCTGTCTCCTGCAGCGAGCATGAAGGTTTGTTCTCTGTAAGGCAGCATTCTCACCCGGGTTACGTTTTTCTTATTCTCCAAAAGCGATTCTACGAAACGTTGCTTCTTACTCCCAAAAGCGTTAACACAACAACAAAAGTAATATATATCTAGCAAGGGGGATTGATTATTGTAAAAGCCCTGTTGCAACGGTGGAGGTCTTCTGAGTAAACCAAAAAAAACACATTTGTAAGAACTACCATTCTCTTGTAGCCATGGGGAGAGGAGAGGAGGAGCAGAGAAGTTGAGAGTTGTCAGAGAAAAGATGTATTGAGAAAGGCCTATGGTGGAAGGTAATTTTTTTCATCACGATGAAATGGGTCGAAACGCTCCTAACGTGGCGATCTGACTAAATTTCTTTCTTTTATCAATTTTCATTCTTTGACAGCCTTTTCCTTTATATATCTGGATTTTCTTGTTCTTGTACGACTAAAATAAAATGAAACAATAATGGCTGGTTGGCAGCTGGCCAGTTGACCAGTACATATGCTTTCGTTGTCAGATAGATAAAAAAACTAATTTTTTCTTTTCTTTTCTTGATGTGTTTTTCCCTCCCAAGTGTTGTGTGCGTTGTCTCATGCACACTGGCATAAGGTTTTAAGAGTCAGTGTTCTTTTTTTCTTTTTTTTTTCCCTTCCAATTTTTGACCATTTGCGTTTTTCGGCACCATGGATTGCGAGGGTTGATTTGTGATGAATTGAGCGTCGGCATTATTATATATATATATATATATTTGAAAAAGAAGAAAAAAAAAAGAAAAAAAAAGAAAAAAAAAGAAGAAGAAAAAAGAAGAGAAAAAAAGTAATCGGCTATGGGTATTGTGCATGTAGTGTATAAGAAGAACATCGTGAGAGTGGACCATCGAGAGAAGTGAGGAGCAGAAAGAGCGAAGCGAGTACCGGAAAGCATCACAACATTGACAAGGCCGCACTCGTCCTCCTGAGAACATACCTCGTAACCTCATCATCGTCACCCCACTTGAGCCTGGCCTCTATATCGACGAGCTGAGCCCTGACGACGTCGCGGGGGAGGCCGCGAAAGGCCCACGCACCCATGAGGCAGTTGACGATGACGAGGTTGGGGGCGGGGTCGGCGTCGATGACGGCATTGCGGAGGAACTCGATCTTGGTCTCCCAGGGGATGTCGTCGCCGGTCCTCCCGGTGGCGGCGAAGACGTCGAGTTCGGGCCGGGGGTCGGGATCGGGGTCGGCGACGGCGCGCCGGGGGGCGGAGACGCCCTCGTCGTCCTCGTGGGCGATGTGCACCCCGCCCCTGGAGAGCCAGAAGACGCGCCTGACCTGCTCCTCGTCCCAGGGACCGGTGAGGAGGCCGTCGGGCAGGCGGGTGCGGGGGTGGACGTCGCGGCCGCCCCAGGGGGCACCCTCGGTGTGCAGGGGCGGCCAGAGGAGGCACTGGGCGTAGTCGGCCTCGAAGCACGAGACGGCGTCGAAGTGGTCGAAGCCGCCGGAGCTGTGCGCCGACCCGGGACGGTCCCGCGGGTCGGAGTAGTGGGGGATCGAATGCTGGTACCACCTGTCCCTGGCGTGCCTGGAGGCCCAGGTCTGCTGGGCGCGGAGGAGGATGGGGGTCTTTGCCCAAGGCTGACGGAGGATGGAGGACTTGTACGAGGGAAGTCAGCAAGAGACCGTCGGACGCGTACAGGAACGGGACGTGCGGGCGGGGCGAGGATGAGAGGAAGGAAGGAAGAAAAAGAAGAGAAGAAAAGAAGAGAGAGAAAAAAAAAGGGAGTGCATGACTTGAAGAGGGAGCGCGAGCGAAGCGAGGATAAGAAACGAAAAGAAGACACGAGGGCAGTGAGGAGGAGGGAGGAGAGTGAATACCTGGAGGATAGGGTCACCGTGACCGGTGAGGGAGTAACCGTTGGGAACATGAGGGCCGTAAAGGGGCTCCCGAGCGACGGCGACCCCAAACCAGACATCCCAGGTGTCGCGGAAAGCCGATATGACGAGCCTCAGCAGCGTGGCAGGCTCAGAGAGCTTGAGGCCGATGAGCGGGCTGGCGTGGGGTAGGCTGAGGTTGGTGCAGTGCAGGAGGATGGCCTCGAGGATCTCGGTCGGGAGGGAGTCGAGGCTGGGGCGGGCACGGCGGCCGTCGGCGGTCCCCCTCGAGGCCATGACTGACGAGAGGGACTTGCGGACCTGGGGGCGAGGAGGTCGAGGCCGGTGTTGTCGTTGTCGTTGCTGTTGTTGTTGTTGTTGTTGTTGGTGATGATGATGGCGGTCCTGGGAGAGGGCTTGTGGTGGATTTGTGCGAGGCGTCTTGCGCTTGCCACGGATGTGGATCGGAGTGAGGTTCATGAGTGTCGTGTTGTCGTATATGTGCGAGTATATATGTGTGTACTAGATACAGATTATATATATATACATATATATATATGTGTGTGTGTGTGTGTGTGTGTATACAGAGTAGATGGATAAAAATATTACATCAGAGTAATACATGTCCGTAAAGTGTGTATGCAAAGAATGAAGACTGTAGTAAGAAAAAAAAGAAAAGCAAACCTGTAATACTATCAGTACAGATTAGTATCAATACCAGCAGCACAATAGTATCATTCATTAGTAACGAGATACCTGCTCAAGGTTTTTTTTGTATCGTTATGAGTGTCCGATATATATAATCTGTAATCTGTATAGAAAAAAAAAAGAAAAGGTGGAGTTGGTGGTCTTCTCTCGGTTACAGGGGCTTTATTGAGGCGGGGAGGATTGATACTTTTTTGCAGTATCAATTAATCCTTGTACGGAGTGTTACCATAGTCTATGACTGCAGTACGAGTAACTTGAATGTTTCTTCCGTACATCATTACCTTGGGTCTATCAGGAACAGGTAACGAGCCCCGAGAGCTGACATCTTTCTTTTTCTTCTTTTTTCCTCTTCCTCTTCTTCTGACAAACGTCATCATCAGCCACGTCTAATCTCACGTGCGTTCCTTGACGAAGGAATTGCGTCTCCGTGGCTCCAGCTGTTTGACGGTCACGGTTTCTGGTTTTTTCTTCTTTTTTTTCCCCCTAGCCATCCCTAGCCATCCCTCCTCTACCACCACGCGTCATACCGTCTCGTCGGCATATGACCTCCCCTATCCGTATCCATCGATGGCTGTGACGTGCCGCGCGCCGCTGCCGGTACCCTCGTATAGCCTCCTCCGATTCCTGCGACTGCAGACCCGGCTCTCCGTCTGCGCATCCTCGACTGCTCTCCAGAGAGATAACAGATGTTCATCCTCGTCCTCCCGCCGCAGAACCTGCACCACAACGACGACATGCGCTTCTGCTAGACCCAGACTTGGCGTGTCCAAGAGGCCGCGACAGCAGGCCGCGACGACGGCCGCGACGACGGCAACGGCGACGGCGACGGCGACGAGGTGCTTTGGAACGACGGCCACCGCGCTCAGAGCGTCGGGACCGAACGAGGCGCAGGCTGCCCGCGCGGCGTCGTGGCAGGAGAGACTATGGGGCAGCCTGATCAAGAAGGGTGGAGGGAACGGCGGCGGGCCTGTCCGACCGGACGACCTGGCCTCCGACGACCATCCCGACGGGCCGTTCGTCTTCAACAACAGGCGCACCATGGCAGCCAAGGCAGCCCTCGAACCCAGACTGCGCTGTACAGAGGTTGACGAGCACGGCAAGGTGATCTTGGTGGACGGGGAGTTTAAGAAGACCGAGCTGATTGCCAAGGTATGTCTCCTTCCCCCTTCCCCTTCCCTTCCCCTTCCCTTCCCCTCGACCTCCCCGACCTCCTCGACTCTGCCCGGGATTCTTCCTGCTGCGAGAAGCCCGGGAGAGATTCTGACCTGATGCCTAGTACGGCCTGCTGCCCCGCGACCTCCGCAAGATCGACTCGTCCAACCTGCCGCACATCCTGGTCCGGCCGTCGGCCATCCTGCTCAACCTGCTACACCTCAAGGTCCTGATCCGGCACGACCGCGTGCTGCTCTTCGACGTGTACGGGTCCAAGACGTCGTACTCGCAGTCGGCCTTCATGTACGACCTGCAGGGCCGGCTGCAGCAGAAGGGCCCCTCGTCCCCGATGCTGGGCGGGCTGCCCTACGAGTTCCGCGCCCTCGAGGCCGTGCTCACGTCGGTGACGTCGGAGCTCGAGGCCGACTTCGAGGCCGTGCGCGAGCCCGTGATGCACATCCTCAGCGAGCTCGAGGACGACATCGACCGGCAGAAGCTGCGCGTCCTGCTCATCCTGTCCAAGCGCGTCAGCACGTTTGAGCAGAAGGCCAAGCTGGTCCGCGACGCCATCGAGGAGCTCCTCGAGGCCGACGACGACCTGGCCGACATGTACCTCACCGAGAAGGCCACGCCGGGGACGTCGCTGCGCAGGGAGGCCGACGACCACACCGACGTGGAGCTGCTGCTCGAGTCGTATCACAAGCTCACCGACGAGATCGTCCAGGAGGCCGGGAACCTGGTGTCGGGCATCCGCAACACGGAAGACATGTGAGTGCCACGGCATCCGATCCGGAGAGGGGAGATCTCAAGAAGAAGCAGCAGCAGCAGCTGACACCCCGTAAAAAAAACAAAAAAAAACAGAGTCCGAGCTATCCTAGACGCGAACCGCAACGCCCTCATGCTCCTAGACCTCAAGTTCAGCGTCGGCACCCTGGGCTTGGCGATGGGCACGTTCCTGGCCGGCCTGTACGGGATGAACCTCGAGAACTTCATCGAGGAGACGAACTGGGGCTTCTCGGCCGTGACGGTCGTCTCGAGCGTCTGCTCCCTCATGGTCTGCTGGTACGGCCTCGGCCGGCTGCGCAGGGTGCAGCGCATCAAGATGGGGAGCGACGAGGTGCCCGAGGTGCCGCACCTGGTGGCTCGCAGGCCGCAGGTCTCGGTCTCGTCTCAGGACGACGCCCTCGGCCTGCTCGACTGGCGGCACCGCGAGAGGCTGAGGAGGATGCACATGCAGAAGTCGGCGGCTGCTACCAGCAATAAGAGGAAGAGGTGGTGGTGGCTGGGCTTACGTTCATCCTGACCCTGCCCTGCCTCTCGGCACTGGCCAGACTAATCTCATCTTACCTCGTCACCCTTCTCTCGCATGTCATTTTCTCTCTTCTCTTCTTCTCTTACCATCTTCTACTCTTGACTTTTTTCTTCTTCCATCTTCATCTTCTCCCCCCCCCCCCCCCCCCCCCCCCCCCCCCCCCCCCAAACATCTCTCCACTGACGGCGCAAGTACTGTACGAGTAATAACAGCGTTTCGGTCTACCCACTACCCATGTGTCTATATATATAACCTCACCTCCCCTTTTCGGAGCCGTCAGATTCTGTAGTGGTATGCAACATGATGTTCTGTGATGATCAATTGAAAGACTAGTATATACCATGACAAAGAATGGGAAGGGGAAGAAAGAAAAGGAAACAAATGATGAATCACACACACATTTCTTTCCCCTTCCTCTCTCTCCCACCCCCCTCCAAAAAAAAAACAAAAACAGTCATGTGTTGCTGAGATTATATTGGCCACCATCGAGCCGATATAGTTGACGTCACCAACTCTCTTCCCAGCGGAATCAAAAACACGAGACGAAAGAAACAAGGGGGGAGGAAGCCGTGGGGATGAAGAGAGGAGATGCACGTCAATCGACCGATTCAACCAATCTCTTCTCTGGCTATCATCCTAATTGACCTAATTGACCTGATTGACCTGATTGATTCCTGGGGGGGGGGAGGAAAGAAAGAGGTGTGCGACGTCTGCCCCCCTCCCCCCAGCCCCCCCCAAACAGGATACTCTACGTCACTGACGATACTCATGACGCCACAGTGTTGCATATCGGCGGGAGGAAAATCAAGGAGGGGAGATGTGGCTCCTTTCCACTGATGCCTATCCGTCTCTCGCTTTCTCTGTCCCCAAGTCGATGACCATTGTTAGGGTTCGCCGTTCTTTCTCCTTTTTTTGTCTTGTCTTGTTTTTTGTGATTATTATCTTTTTCCCTTTCTAGAATGGTTTTCTTCTCTCCCTCTCTTTCTTCCCTTCGTTTCAGAGCCTGACGTCAGGCATCTATTCCGTACCTGAAGAGTCTGGGGGTGTTTGCCGGTCTATATAAAGGGTCTGGATGATTCCCATATCCTCTCTCTCCGTTCTTCTTCTTCTCTTCTACTAAACCCCATCATTCAACGCATATAATATCATCGACAACGATAAACATCCGACGAACAATACTTGATATACAAGCCTTGATCCAATATGGGAGCCGTCGTTAGCTGTGTATGTCGACCCCTTCTTACCGTCAACGTTCCTATCGTCGAGAGAGAAGAGACAGAGGAGAAGAGAGAGAAGGAGAGGGACGGAGAAAGAAAAGAAGAGAAAGATTATAGAGATATGAGAGAGAGAGAGAGGAAGGAATGCAGAGAAGCTGACAAGGATAACAATATAGATCTCGTCCATCTTGGGCACAATCGGCGCCGCCATCATGGCCGTCATCACCGGCGTGGCGGGCATCATCAAGGCCATCATCAACGCCATCGTCGCCTTCTTCGGCATCGTCATCTCCTGCCTCACCTGCGGGACGTGCGGACACAGGAGACACGCGACGACGACGAGAAGCGTCGTATAACCATTACCCCGTCATCTGCCGTGATGCAGGAACGGACAAGCCAACACGGACGGACAGTGAGGGTAGAGGGGGTTGGGATTTTTTCTTTTTCTTGCTTTAGTTTTTGACATGCCTGTTTTCGTTGACTTCTCTCATGAAAAAAAAAAGACCCCCCCAATGCACACATATCTCGAGATACCCCGGCCTCTGCGACGAACAAGATGTCCTCATATAGAGTTTTCATTGTTTTTCTCTTCCTTTCTTTCCCCTCTCAAGATAAAGATCAATACTACAAGCAAAACCACTCGCTCATTCTTAATCCTTTCCCCTCCCTCCTCTCTCTCTCTCTCTCTCCTCTCTCATCCCTCTCTTCTCCCTCTCTTCTCTCTCTCCTCTCTCTCTCTTCTCTCTCTCCTCTCTCTTCTCTCTCCTCTCTCTCTTCCTCTCTTACACATATACGCACAAAATCGCTTATCCTCATCTATAATGCAACTCAACTCCGTGGTATCAAAAATATCAACACTCCTCCCCCCCCCCCGCTGCGTGGTTTGGTAGCTTAGTAGCTGGTGTCGACGACGTAACGGCCGGTGACGGCACCTTTCTCCATGAGGTCGTAGACGCTCTGAAGCTCGGAAAGACCGACGATCCTGTTGGCTGGTCAGTAAAGCTTACATCATCTTCCCGTCATGAGATTCATCGACTGACTTGAAGGGAGGCTTGATGTGACCAGCCCTGAAGAACTCGATGGCCTCGGCCGTGTCCTGGCGGTTACCGACGTAGCTGCCCTTGATGCTGATCTCACTATGTCCAGAATAAACTTGTCAGCCATACACACACACACACACACACACACACACACATATATATATATATATATATATACATGTCAAGACGTACCGAACAACAGTGTCAAAGACGGGGGCCTTGACAAACGCGCCGGCGGGCAGACCGACGCAGACGATGGTACCCTTGCTCTTGACGTACTGGCTGGCCTGCTGGAAGGGTCCCTCGCTGGCGGCGAGGAGGAGGACGGCGTCGGGTCCGTTCCCGCCCGGGGCGGCGGCGCGGATGTCGGCGACGACGTCGGTCGAGGTCTTGAAGTCGACAAAGCTTTCGGCGCCGAGGCTGAGGCAGAGCTCGCGCTTCTCCTCCCCGCCGTCGAGGGCGGTGATGCGCAGGCCCATGGCCTTGGCGTACTGCAGGGCGAAGGAGCCGAGCCCGCCGCCGGCGCCGGCGATGGCGATGCTCTGGCCGGGCCGGACCCCCGACGACTTGAGGGCCTTGTAGACCGTCAGCCCGGCGCACAGGATGGGCGCCACCGCGGCCAGGTCGCAGTCCTTGGGGATGCGGGCCACGTGGGCGGCCTTGCCGATGGCGTACTGCTGGAAGGAGCCGTCGACGGTGTATCCCGACAGCTCGGCGGTGCCGCACAGGGACTCGTCGGACTGCCGGCAATGCTCGCAGCTCATGCACGAGCCGTGCAGCCACTTGACGCCGACGTGGTCGCCGATCTCGACGTCCGCCACCAGCTCGCCCCGCGCCACCACCACGCCGGCGCCCTCGTGACCGCCCACCAGCGGCAGCTTGGTCGGCAGCGGCCAGTCGCCGTGCACGGCGTGCAGGTCCGTGTGGCACACGCCGCTGTACTTGATGTTGATGAGCACCTCGTCCGGTCCCGGCTTGGGCACCGGTATCCGCCTGTACTCGACCTTGCCGCCCGTCTCGTGCAGGACCTGAGCCCACTGCTCCGTCGGTATCGCCGGCCCGGCCGCCGTGGCGTACGACGCGGACCTGCTCGAGGTCGGTCTGCCGGCCGCCGCCGCCGCCGTCGCCTGGACCGCCCCGCCGATGGCCGACGACGGCTTGGCCGCCGCCGTCTTGACCTGCGAGGGGGCGCGGCGGTGGTGGTGATCGTGGCCCGACGCCCCGGACGAGCAGCTGGAGCACATGCACGGTCGGCTGGAGTGGAGGTCGCGAGTGCCGACGACGCCGGCGGCGGCAATGCGGGGGACGACGACGGACCTGGCCGATCGGAGGAGGACCCTGCTGCTCCTCACGAGGTTGGCGGGCATCATATTGGGCGGTATCGTCTGCTGTCGTCTTGGTGGGGGGTCGGTCAGATTGTCTTGTGTTATATCCGGTTCCGGGAATTACTCGTCACAGCAGAGTAAAACAATGTTGAGAGAGAGAAGAGAAGAAAGAAAACCCGGGGGAGGAGACTAGATCTGGGAAGAGGGGGGGGGGGGGGGGGGGGGGGGGGGGGGATAGCTCAATTTAAATATACCCAACGACATCGTCATCCTCACCTCTGGTCCTCTCTAACGATTGACTGCTTCGTACTCCGTACTATTATCATTGCTACGGAGTAACCCGTACACAGATACGCCGTAGGCTAGAGGAGACGCATACCCTTGTCCATCGCATCCTTACTAGCGACTTTTTGCCCTTCCGTCCTGGCCGGAGAGAGAGAGGGAGGGAGAGGGAGAGAGAGAAGCTCGGGTTGTCGAGGTGATCTCCTGCACCTACAAGTCATCCCGGCTCCCCCCTCCCCTTCTCTTCGACTCCACCACTCACCACTCACTTCTCCACTCCTGGTCTCGGACAGTGGGAGGAGGAGGAGGGTGTGTTTCCGTTCCTCCAGCTGTCTGGTATCGATACTCGTAGTACTCGGCATCACCTGTCCCGTACTGCATGTGGTGGTTAGCCGTAGTCTCGCAGTGGTAGTCTCGTAGTCGTATCAGCTCACCTCTCTTGTACCGAGTACGAGGTAGTGATACTTCATACTGATAGTGATGGGCTGGCAGTGAAGACGATAGAAACCGGTCCAGCGGATTGGAAATGAGGGGCGGGGGAGGGTCATGGGTGCGTATCATGGCAAGCATTGGCAAGCATCAAAACAATATTATCTGCCATACCATCATGCAATCATGTGGTTCTCGACACCCCAACTCTAACCCCATGCTCCCCCGAGCCCCCCCCCCCCCCCATACTCTCTATATGTACGTGTCGATAATAATACCTCGTACGATGATGCAACACTCCAGACGTTACCGACTCTATGGCTTCGCGTGTGTGTATATGTGATAGGTTACCAAGAAAACACTCATTCTACAATATCAAACCAACTCTCCCCCCCTCCCCTCCCCTCCACTCCCCCACCAAAAGAAAAAGAAAAGAAAGAGAGAGACAAAAAAAAAAAGACTGAAAGAGGGACATCATGTTTTTTTTCCCAGTGCCCACAACCCCATCCACGACCAACCGTCAGCGAGAGCCTAGCCATCTACAGATTATTAGTATCAATGCAGTAATAATAAAGCCTCCCCGCTCCTCGACCAACCCTCTTTTTCTTCTTCTTCTCCCCCCCCCCTCTTCTTTCCCTACCAGTGCGCGGAGCCGCAACACCGATGGGTCAACATCAGGTTATTATCGCCTTCTCTTTGACACTCACGCTCACTCACGTACGAGTACATGTACACACGTGTCACACACACACACATACACACACACATACACACACATACACACACATACACACACACATACACACACACATACACCCTCTCTCCTCTCTCTCCTCTCTTGTCCGTCTCTGTTCTCCCACTTTCCCGTCATATACCAGTTTCGGTATCAACCATATCCGAATATGCACCTTGGTCTGTTCTTCCCATAAATCGTCCCTTTACCAAGAGGGAAACTTGCAGCATGTATCTATCTTCTCTATACACCACTTACACACACATATACACACCTAGACTCCATGAGTACGCCGGTACTATCAACTGTACATATATACTCGTATACACGTCCATCATCACCACATCTGCCCCCGCCCCTCGGAGCCGCAGAACGACGCACCCCCCCCAAATCATCAAATATCAAATTCTCTTCATCCCGAGCATCGCTTATTACGCCATCTTCTGCTAGCAGCCATCACGGACCTACGGCCCACTGCCCACGGATGCTCCGTATCACCTGTGCGCCGCCGCCGTCGTACCACCATGCCAACCGCGTGCCGCAGCTACCCCTTTCTCGGCCTCGCCCCTTCCGCCGGAAGAGGGAAAAGGGGCCCATGACTGACGATGCTCTCCTTGCCTTGCTGCTGAGCCGCTGATCGATAAACCAGGTCACCGTATTTGGCTCCGCCTCTGCCTCCTCCCCCCACTGGCGCGACATCGCGCACCGCCACCCAGCCTTGCTCCGTACCCCGTACGGTATCCCGTACGGGGCACTCGTAGTCCGCGTCCATCGTGGCCATGTCCCTATACTGACTGCTTGCATCTCCGGAACAGTCCACGCCATCCCCGGGCTTTCTGCTCGAAATCCGAAACCGGCCTCTTCCTATCAGGTACGAGACCCTTTGCCGCCCACCTCCCTCTCCACTCTCGCTCCACATTCTCGAGCACCGTCGTAGCTGCTCCGCATCCCAACTCGGATCTCGCGTGGGGCACATGTCCGCAATGCCACCGGAGGCTTTCTGCCGTCCTTGAAGCTGTTGCTGCTGGTCCTGGCACAGGCCAAGGCATCGACTCGTACTAGTCAGCAGTACTGCAGATCACCCATGCGCCCCGTCATCTGCTCTGTGCCATGGTATCGTCGGCCGGCATCGTCAGCATCATCCGCACCACCCCGCTTGGGCCCCCCCCGTCGTGGTCGGCGAAGCTGCGATCCGACCTATGCAGTCGGCCCACAGAAGCAGTGCCGATGCTTGCGAGACTGTAATCTTCAGTGCTGCTGACTAGTACGAGTAGTGCTGGCAGCCGCAGCAGCCGCGGCATGCGCGCACTCAGTCCTCCTCCATGACGTTGCGGTTGAAGAACCCGTGGATCTGCTTGGCAGCTGCCTGTCCCACCAGGGGTGCCAGGTCCTTCTCTTCCATATTCGACACCTCGCGCACGTTCTCCGCCGCGGCGGTTATGTTCCTGATGTTCTGAGCCGTCACCCCCGGCACAGCCCGTAGCATCTCCTGCGGCTCGAGGTTGAAGGCCTGATCCTCCACCTGCGAGTCCTTGTCCAGCCCTGCGCGCACCGCCGCTAGCGGGTCGGGTTCGGGTTCGTGTGCCTTGAGCGACTCAAAGATCTCGGCTGTCTGGTAGGGCGAGGAGGACCAGATGATGCGCAGACGCGGGAAGGCAAGCGTGAGCAGCGCAATCTTGGACTGCAGGTCGGAGGGGGCATCCGAGGACACGCTGCTCACACGGCCCGACAGGTCGGCAAACGGTTCCAGCGTGAAGGACTTGTTCTGGTCAAACTCGATGAGGAGCATGGCGTCGCGGTAGTGCCGGAACATCGTCTCGGCCTGCGTGTACAGGCGCCCATCCTTGAAGGACGAGACGAGGTCGCTGATGGACTTGCGCTCCACCACAATGTTGGGCGAGAGCACGTAGTCGCCCACCGTGAGCATGCACGGCACGATGACCATAGACCGCCCGTGCAGAAGGGAGGGGAGCGACGACCGGAACTCGCGCACGTCCACCACCACCCGGGGCGGTTCCGCCGTCGCCGCCAGCCGTCCTCCGCCGGCGATGCGGGTGTTGACCGTCCGGAGGAACGCCTCCTGCGGGTCCTCGGCGTCGTGCGTGTCCACCGTCATCACGACCGACATGCCCGCCCGCTCCTTGATGGCCTTGGTAAAGGCGTCCTTTTCCCGCCGCACCGACGACAGATACCGCTGCTCCTCGACGGAGCCCCCATAGTACATGAAGTAGACGCGCACGTTGCGGTCGTTGTGCGAGGATCGGTACACCTCGACTCGTCGGATAAAAGACGCATCCGGCTCGTACATGATGATGTAGCGCGGCTTCACCTCCTCCAGGACATGTTCGTCCTGGTCGCCGTCGTAGGCGTGGATTACCACCAGGTCCTGCATATCGAACAGCTGGTAGTGCTCATCCATATTGTCCAGCGGGTCGGCCGCAACCTCCGGCTGCTGCTGATGCTGCTGCTGCTGCTGCGCTTCTTCCTCCGTGAGCTGCACCTCGGCCATCAGGTCCGCCACCTCGCTGGGCTTCTCAAAGTACTGTGCGATGCTGCCATTATCCGTACGCCCCATGGCTGTTCCCGCACCGACGCCGCCCCCGCCACGCATGCGCCGTCGTTTGTTTGCCGGTGCCCGACCGCCGCGCGTGGCGCCCGTGCGTGAATCTGCGGCTCCGTTGAGAGCCCTCTGGTTCTCCGAAAAGAGGGTCTGATTGACCTGGGCGAACTGCCTCTTCCATCTCAGGTAGTTTCGTAGTCTCCGGCGCATCATGAACGATGCCGACGGCTTGCCTTCCTCGTCCTCGTCGGTCTCGCCGCCGTCGCTGTGGGTGCGTTTTCTGGGCTTGACATGCATCGTCTGGAGGTAGTCACGTAGCTGTCGGCATAGGTCCGTGTTGGAGCACATGATGAGTATCGTGCCATTTGAGTCGTCTCGTGCCGGCGGATCAAAGTAGAGATCCCTGTCAATCTCCTCGAGTACCTCGGCTAGGATGGCCCACTTGGGGAGCTCCTCGAGAACAGGGCGTAGGACATCGATGCTATCATCTGGACCCAGGGCCCGGGGCTTGGCGGCGTATACTCTCCTCCGGGCCGTGTCGAAGATAGTCTGTGTAGCATCCAGGAACAGCCAAGGAGACTGCGTCTGTCTCGTAGAGCCGGGAGCTGGCGAGTGGGCGGCATGTATCGTGTCCATGTGCTGAAGGAACGAGACGGCATCGTACTCGAGGATGTGGTTGAGCATGGCCCTGAGCACAGTCAGGTCGCCGACAATCTGACGAGTCTTCCAGCTGACACGGTGCCAGTTGGGATCGAGCTGGCGTCTGACCATGGTGTCGAAGTTCTTGAGGAGAGCGCTATCCAGGTTCCAGTCCTCCATGTCGAGTCCCGAGTTGCCCTTCTTCAGCTCGTGGATGCTGACCTCGACGCACTCCATGATGGCGTTCTGAATCTCCTTCATCGAGTCCGTCATAGGTATCTCCAGCTCTATAACCTCGGCCTTCTTCTTGCCCTCCAGGGACTTGGCCACGGTGACCTGGAATCGGGGCCAGAAGGACGCCTTCTTCAGGAACAGGTTTCGCAGCATGCCGGCGAGCGGGGAGAAGCCTACGGCGAAGGGGTCAGGGTTGTCGGAGAAGGCCTTTAGGAAACCAGCCTTGTTCTTTTGCCGGTACACTCGCAGTATGAAGGCCTCGAGAGACGTGGCGACGACACGGTCCGCATGGAGGACGACGAGGCCCGTGATGGACTCTGGATCCAGGAGACCCGTAAGCAGGTCGACGACGAGGATACGGGACGTGATGCTAAATATCCCCCCCCCACCGTACATCTTCTCCCTCGCACCGACGCTCTGGAAGTCGGTGTTGACCACGGTCAAGCCCCTGGCCCGGGGAGAAGCACTCACGGCGGCATGCTCGGCCAGGGCCTCGCCGATCCAGCCATTCTCACGGTCCTCGGCACCCACCACGACAATGAGGTTGTTGCCAGCGGCATCGTATGAGTGAAGCAGGTTGGTGACTATGCGCATCAGCCCAAGGCCACGGGCTATCACGACCAACTCATCCTCGGCGCGGAGTTCCTGGAAGAGGTCCTGCTGATATTCCTGCGTGAGGCGTCAGCCACTGAACCCGGACGGATGAGCGAGGATGAGAGAGGCTCACGAGAGGCAGTGAGAGCTTCACCGGTTGCGGTGCATCACTCGTCGACATACGGGGCACCGGTCCACTACTTCCTTGGCCCGTTCACCGGGTATTGCACTGATAAGTCTGGATGAGGTCTGTAGATGCAGAGGTTAGGCATGGAAGTTTCACGGCCTGGATCGCGACTTCTGTGGGGGGTGGACGGTGACTTTCCAGCATCATGAGAGGCAGAGGTGTAGGTACGTACCGTCGGTGGCACCTTGCCCATACGTATTAATATTACGAGTATTGTACAAAGCACCAGAGCTGTGGCTGGCACCAAGCAACCAAGTACACGACGACTACGACATTCATCTACAGATGGGTACACTCGGCATACATTAGGTCATGCTACTACCTCCAGTATTATTAGCAGATATGCAGTCTCGAGGCGGTGCATTCACGTGTGTGGTACGGAGTACAGATTACTTGCAGTTGAGTTTGTTAACCTGTTTCTGCTCTCGGCTGGTGCTGTTGAAGAAATGCGTACGTCATTACATCAGCCATTTTGCCTCTTCCCAAAGCTTCTCGGCTTACAGTACAAATGCAACCCGTCCCCTCTTCTTCCCATGCCGGACAAGACCCATCACTCTCTGAAGAAACAAGAACAACCATAACCATCCACTTCACCGATACCACTTCTACGCAGAATCAACTCTCCAATATGCCTTCTGACCAGGACAAGCAGAACAAGCCCGAGGTGGGTCGCGCAGTTATCCCTACAACCACGTACTAACCACCCTGACCCCCGCCTCCATGTCGCTTCCCGTGCCGGGGTGGGGGAACTGGGTGGGTGGTCCCTGAACCGTGGAATGGGAGAAAGGGAAGAGGGAAGAGGGAAGAGCTGACAGACGTACAGGGCGAGAAGGAGTTTGGCATCCAGCCCATCAAGGACGCCGCGGACAAGGACCCCAAGTTTGCACCGTTTGGTGCCCACCCCGGTCCTCAGCTAGCTAGCATGCCCGGGCAGGAGGGTACAAAGGAGGAGCGCCAGGCCAGGAAGGAGGCTCTCAACAAATAGAGCGGGTGCGCTGTCTTGTACGAGTAGGACCGCAACGCAAGCGACCATGGACAGGACTAGCCGTGGACAATCCCCGAGACCTTGATACAAGAGAAATGACACGCTTTATAAAATGATGACAGCCTGAATGACGACGGTACCGCCTGGGTGGTTGGGAAGACTCACGACACCCGCGGACACGGCCCAGTGATGTTCAATACACCGAGCCGGTGCTTTGTCAAACTCGACCTCGACCCTTGTGTTTCTCTGCAAGGCACAGTAGCAATGATGGACTTTCGTCTGCGTTATGAATGATAGCAAATGACGCTGGGCCTTTTTTTTTTTGGGGGGGGGGGGGGGGGGGGGCATGCTCCCCTCCCTGCAAGACGACGACAGCACCATGACCTCTCCATGTACGTATCGCAACGGGCCCTGAGTAGAGAGTTGTTGCAGGTGTGGCTGAGTACCGCGTTGTCTGCGTACCTGTACTCGTACGTTAATACGAGTGCTCGCTCACTCGTAATACATGGTAAATTACTCGGAACAAAACAGCATATTAAGTGATATAAGTGATATAATCCTCGGTTTCCCTTACAGGTACGAGTGCGAGTGCTTCCCTTCACAGCGAGTATCATCAACTGCAACAGCCCAAAGCCGACCTCTGCTGATCTGATTCAGGCACCAGAGACCACCAAAGTGCCCGCGTGCTATTTATTACCTACAAGCCGGGGGACGCTACCCGCTAGAATGCACGGATGGCTTGCCGGGCACCCGCTGTGAGCACTCGAACCCAGTGTAATACCGGATGAGTAGCCTGTAGCCATTAGCTTATCTGTCCCCTGTAACCTGTAGACTGTAGCTTAGGTAGCAGCAGCTTTCCTTTTTTTTTTTAGCGCACCTCGTCCAGCGAAAGAGGAAGAAGCAGATGGACCGAGGGCGGGAAGGAGGATGATTGATTGAACGAACGGCTCTCCTCAAAACAGTCGCCGCAACCAAACTCGCACGTTTCCCATTCTTACTTCTTCGTCGCCAAATTTGACAGAAGACCACCTCGCAGCCCACCGGCCCCCTCCTCCCACTCTCGGGTCCCTTTCTCTCATTGTTGTCCGAGGCCGCTCATTACTGCCCGCTCGGGGTGTCCGGAGTGTCCCACTCTCGCTGCCTATCCGGCTGCTTCTGTGAGCGCCGCCAAGCCAGTCGTCCAATCTCACGCGACAGTCGACGAGACATCGACAATATTACGACGTGACTATTCTAAGCGCCGCCAACCTCCGCATCGCCCGACGTTGCGCGGCCCTTGTTCATTCTTGTTGGGTCCTTTCCCGAACGCCCGAGGCTTCCTTTCCATCATACTTGGAATAGTATCTTGCCATTATTCAATACGCTACTTCCGCGACCAGACGCTGCCCGAGAGCCCCCTAGACGGGTTCCCTCGTCCACCCCCAAAATCTTAACCATGCCTTCCATTCTCAACGATGACGATAAAGCCACGGTCAAGCGCTTCGTCCCCAAGCAGTCGAACAAGATCCAGGCTGTCGCCGTCGCCAGGCTCTACGTCGCCTACCCTAACCGCTCCAAATGGACCTACACCGGGCTTCAGGGCGCCATAGTCCTCGCCGACGACCTCGTCGGGCACACCTACTGGCTCAAGATGGTTGACATCTCGGTATGACCGCTCTCGCAGATCTGCACCTGCTCAATGTTTGGAAAGGGGAATGAGTACTGACCTTTGATCTCCCCAGCCTGCCAACCGTGGCGTCATCTGGGATCAGGAGATCTTCGACACGTTTGCCTACAACCAGGACCGTACCTTTTTCCACACATTCGAGATTGACGAGTGCCTCGCCGGCCTGAGCTTCGTCGACGAAAAGGAGGCCAGGCAGTTCAAGAAGAGGATGGACGATCGCGAAAAGAACGCCAGCAAAGCCACTCGCTCCACCCCCTTCGGCGGCCACTCCCAGCCCAAGGAGAAGCATGGCATCCTCGGCGGTCTCTTTGGCTCCCGTCACTCATCGGGCCCGACGCCTCCGGACTCGCCGCGCAACAACGTTACGCCCCCTATGCCTAGCGGCAGCCCCATCTCCGAGTTTGCCCTCCTCGACGAATTCGACCCCCTGTGGCGCGAGCACTTTGGTCAAGACCTCAAAAGCAAGGGCCTGACCGACAACTTCATCAAGGACAACCAAGAGTTCATCGTCGACTTCTTGCGCGAGGAGCAGCAAAAGGCCCAGCAGCAGCAAGCAATCACCACACATGCCCCCCCGCCAACGTCCCCGGGCATCTCATCCAACGGCCACGCCCGCCCACCACCTCCACCTCCCCCCGGCGGCCGACACGCGCCCTCACCGCCGGCATCGGGTGCCAAGGCGCCGCCGCCGCCGGCTCCGAGACGCTCAACCAAGGCCGAGGAATCTACCCCCCCGCCGCCTACGAGGCCCAGATTCAATGCGCCGCCTGCACTGCCCGACGCCGGCAAGTTTGCGGTCCACTCCAAGCCAGCTCCGCCCCCGAGGTCGAGCGCCGCGCCTCCTCCACCTCCACGCGCACCGGCTAAGGAGGAGAGCCACAAGTTTAGCGTTCCTCCTCCCTTTGCCGGCCAGCGTCATAACCCTCCGCCTCCACCAAGCCGTGGCCCAGCTCCTCCCCCCCCCCCTCGCTCCGGACACGACTCGAGCTCTCCAATTGCCGCGCCTGGCCCGCCTCCTCCCCTGCCTCCCAAGGTGCCAGCTGGCGGCCCTCCCCCATTGCCCCCGTCCAGCTCGCGCCCGGTGCCTCCCCCGCCGACTGTTCACCACGCTCCAACTCCCCCGGCGCCACCACCCCCTATGCCCGCTTCGTCGAGCCACGCACCGCCGGCACTCCCGCCACTGCCCCCGACCTCGAGCGCAGCGTCCTATGCCCCCCCGACGCCCCCGCCGCCTATGCCCGCCTCGTCCGGCGCACCGCCAGCACCTCCCCCCCCTCCTCCGTTCTGCCGGCGGTGCACCGCCTGCTCCCCCTCCCCCTCCCCCTCCGAACCGCGACTCCGGCTACTCTTCCGGTGTCCCGGCCCCTGCGCTGCCCAACGCCGACAACAGCCGGGCTGCCATGCTCGGTGACATCCAAAAGGCCGGCGGGATCGGCGCCCTGAAGAAGGTCGACAGGAGCCAGATCCGCGACCGCAGCGGAGCCCAGGTTGGCGACACTGCTTCATCTGCTGCACCCGCTGGAGGTGCACCCGGTGCCCCACAGGGTGGTATGGCTGATGCGCTGGCTGCGGCGCTGCAGAAGCGTAAAGAGAAGGTCAGCAGGAGCGGTAAGTCTACTTTGTCCCCCACCCTCGCCCTACATACACGTGTTTGCTAACTAAGCGCTAGATGACGAGAGTGACAATGACGACTGGTAAAGGGGACGGTAGAATAGATGCCCACGACAAAAATAGGACGCGGGAGTGGCTAAGAGCAGCGATACTGCTAGCCGATACTTGTCTTTTGTCTTGTACATTTCTCGATACAAGCCGTGATAGAAGGACGAAGCGGAAAGTGCGCCCACTTGTGCAGAGTGCCTGGCGAAAACCATTACACTTTATATCAACTTGTTCAGCCGTATCCTTTACGTACCCAAAAGTATCATAGTGAATAAAAGAGGAAGAAAACTCAAGCAGAGAGTGCTTTCCGGATACATTTCTATAGAATCGACGGAGATGCATCTATCACCTACTATGCTGTACACTGTGAAGCAGATAAGCAAATAGCGAGAAGACACAACTACTGAGCAAGGAAATTGAAGCAAAAGGAAGAAGAAGAAAAGAGGTTCAGAATGTTGATGACGGAGATATATAAGAAAGAAGAGAAGAGAGGAAGAAGAAAAAAGGCTAAGAAGAAGGGTTTGAGGAAGAAAAGAAGAAAAAAAGAAACACAACTTTTAGGCAAAAGCCATGACGTCTCTCCCATCACGGATGCCACAACTTCCTTTTTATAGGAAATCCACCACCAGAGCTCATTCCGATAAACTGTCGTGGTGCCCCGAGAGGGTATCTTGGAAGACAAACCCTCCCCTCCCCCGGGGCTGAGAGAGAAGACAGCAGAGCGATATCGTCGAAGCTGAAGTCCAACGATACAGGAATGGTAACAAACTCAGCCACCGCATATATGCTTTCTCTTTTCTTTTTTTTTTCTCGGGTTTTTTTTCGTGTACCCCCTTTTCCTTTGATTGATTGGGTTTCATCTCCATCCTTGTCTTTTTAAATGTCGTCAATGTCAACCTCCTTCTTGCCGTCGGCACCTCCCTCTTCCTCCTCGTCCGAGTCAGCGTCGCCGAACTCGAAGTAGGCCTCGCCGTCCTCTCCCTGGCCGAAGGTGTCGGTCTCGTTGATCTTGGCGTTCTCGGGAAGCTCGCCATACGACTTGAGGGTTCGGGCTTCGTCGGCGGTGTACTTGAGGATGACGTCGCCCTTGCCGTCCTGGAAGTCGCGGAGCGACAGGAGGATGATATCTCCCTGGTTGATCCACACCTTCTTGCGCATCTTTCCTCGGATCTGTCAGGGCGTTAGCATTTTTCTCTCTCTCCTGTCTCTTTCCTTCATGTCTCCCCAGGGAGTGGATACGGTAAGGGGAGACGAGAGGGGGAGGGGGGAGAGGAAGGGGAAAAGAAGTCATACGTTGGCTAGACGTTTGCTTCCGTCAAAGCATAGTGCCTCGAGGCGTCCGTTTCCGAGCATCTTGACGACCTGGGCGTACTCCTGGCCATCCTCCTTGAAGGTGAGCTCACGACGCTGGTCGTCGTTCTCCTTGGTACCCCTTCTGCGGTTCTTGCCGCCCTATGTTTCCGAGAAGCATCCTGGTCAGCTGCAATTCTACTTTACTCATATCTCTCTTTAGTTTTTCCCTGTTCCCCTCTCCTTGTAGCTTTCTGGCTCGGCATCTTGTACGCGGGACCACGGCACGCAGAGAGAGGGGTTTATCGTTTCCATGTCACGATGGTGGGGGGCGGGGTCGTTGCACCACCACCCAAGATTGAGATGGCGCAGCAAAGTCATTGTCTTGGAGGGGCAAGCAAACGCGCGGGGCACACATGAGAGGAAGGAGGAGAGAGGGTAAAAGAAAAGGCCGTGGGGATGGAGTTACCTTTCCCTTGTTCTTAGGCATCGCGGGCTAGATTTTCTTATTCTTGTCCTTGTTGGTTATAGAGAAAGAAAGACGATGGAGACAGGAAAGAGAGAAAGGGCGATGAAGATGGGGAGGGAAGTTTGCAAAGTGTGGGTGGGTATGCTTTGGTGGTGGGCGTCTTTCTGGCTTTTAATATTATTTATTACTACGGAGCATTACGGCGCTTCCAGTTTTTTTTTTTGGCCACCACCACCATCCTCATACGTCTGTTACCTCGAACAGAGAAAAAAAGTTGGGCCTTGATACATGTGCCGCCGCATCAGTGCCTGCCTCTCATTTACAGTTCCCACTGATGACTCAAGACCTTTCTTCGTCTAGGCAGGGGGGTGGCGAGGAGTCAAGGAAGAGAGAGAGCGAGAGAGAGAGAGAAATGTTTTGATATTTGCGAGTAAGTATTATTAAAATACTTGCGGCTCTCACCAAGTCACAGGTGGGTAGATAGGTTTTTCACTAACAGGAGTTTGTGCGTCATTGTGCGCGTCGCAACTCGAAGGATTATTACATAACACAGCGCCACGTGCGCCACATCCAGGATGGTCAGAGTCATTCTATGGCTCAGTCATCTTGTGTGGCTCATAGCTCAATATGATGTAGCCATTCATTTGACGTCTTTTGCCAACTTTCCCATCGGCCTTTGGGGCAAGATTGCTCTGACGCGTCTTTGACTCGTCCTCAATTTCCTCCGCTCGGGACCTCTAACAGGCAAAAGGTCATGGTCCTTAACAGACACTGTCACTACCGATCATGGCGGTAGCAGCAAGGGCTCCCCCTCTGGTCTCAAGGCTGTGGGGGGCGGCAGCAGGAGGAATACCGGCAGCAACATCAGCTCGACGCCTCCTATCGACGAGTGCACGCCTTGAAGCCGCGGGCGGTGGCGGCGGGGGACCTCGACGTCTGATCCCAGAAGAGTGCAAACCCTACTACCACCCAAACGGGCAACTCCAGACGACCCAGGCCAACGTCGACTTCCTGCAGAGGCACAACATCACGCACGACAACGCCGTCGCGCACGCGTCGCCACACCACCGCAACAGTCCACACAGGGGGCTCTTCAACCGCCTAGGCGTGGCCGTCAACTTCACGGGCGCGCACCTCATCTCCCCCTATGACCTGCACTTCCTCGACCCGCGAGGTCACGCCATGGCCAGCAAGCAGCGCCAGCGGTACGGCGACATGTCGCGCCACCAGCCCCTCTGGCTCATCACCACGTGCACGGGGGGCGCAAGGGCCGTCGTGCGACACACCATACAGCAGAGGTTACGCGCTGCCCTGTACTTGGCTCTCCAGGCTAGGGGGTATGACCGGTTCGGCCGCGGCTCGACCACCGCGGCGAATGCGGCAGCTAGAGCCAAGAGGCCTATTGTGGGTACGCTCTGGATACACGTCCGTGACCCTATACGTGCCGTCTCCTCCGAGGTTAGCAAGGAGGCCTTTGGCCGTGCCGTCGTCGACCTGCTAGAGGACGCAGACAGGGTGACCGCTGAGACATTGTCACAGCGCAGGAGCAGTTCTGCCAAGAAGGGCGGGGGCAGTGGCGGCAACAGCAGCAACAGCAAGAAATCTCGGCCCAGAACGCCGTAGAGAGATGTCTCGGAGGATTCGACGAATTTTCCGCGTGAAGCCCCACGTATCTGACTGGACGGACGGATTGCGAGGAGCTCAGCGGGCTGTAGACCTCCCTGCGTGGCGTATGCATGCGACGTCTCAGTCCCATGTAATATTTTCTGTACAAAATTTTGAATTTCGACTGCGTTTGGGGGGGATGGTTCGGTAGCGCCTCTTCCCGCGATCGGACAGCATGTCGGCCCCCTTCTCCCTGAGCTCTCCAAGCTATGGACCGGCCCCGTAGGATCAGACAGGAAGGCAAAAGACGGAGGAGTAGGGGCAGGTTGTGAAGAGGGATGACGGATCTCTGCCAGACATTGTCGTTCTAAGTATGTAGGCCGAAGAATCAGGAAAATGGATTAAAAAGCAAGATGAGAGGCGGAGAAAATGGTGTTGGATATGAGACAACACGAGTACAACTTATAAATACTCCCAGGCATATCGCATGGGAAGCTAGAAGCAGCAGCACTTGGTCCAACCCTGATCATTCATCTGGAACGCCCGACTATCTACATCGCCCTTCCTCATCACTCTCGTAGCAATCATGACCGGAGTCAAGAGCCTCGCCGCGGCAGCCCTGATGATGCCCTTGGCCTCGCTGGCACAGGTCCTCTTCTACAACAACGGCACGCTGAACGGATGGGACGAGTCGCGGGCAGAGCACAACGGCCAGGTGCGCGAGGTAGACAACGTCTACTTCACGGCGCCGACATCCCTCAAGATGGACCAGCGGTACGACGCCTCGTACACGGGCCGCTACCACTCCGAGGTGGACGTCAACGACGGGTACACCAGGGGCGACTCTCGCTTCTACGGCTTCGCCTTCAAGCTGTACAGCGGGTGGGAGTTCGACGCGGATCAGAGCTACAACCTGGCCCAGTTCATCTCAGACCTGGGCGGCGGGTGCGACGACTACATGCCGTCGACCATGGTGTGGCTGGTGGGCGACCAGCTCAATACACGACTAACTTATGGCACCTACGCCGAGCCGGACTGCAAGCGCAGCTTCAACGAGAAGCGTAACCTGGCCACCGTCCAGCCGGGCGGCTGGCACACCGTCATCATCCAAGCCGACTGGCAGAGCGACGAGTCGGGCTCCTTTGGCTTCTGGTTCGACGGCGCCAAGCTCGTCGACGACTCGGGCATCGCCACGACGATCGACAGCGACAACACCTTTGCTTTTCGCGTCGGTCTATACGCCAACGGATGGTATGACGACGACAGCATGGTTGGCGACCAGGACTACCGCCAGGTCTGGTATGACGAGGTCGCCATTGGCACCTCGTACAGTGATGTCGAACCCCGACAGGACTGAGTGGGGGGGGGTTGCGTAGTATTGGATCAGCTTACTGGTCGTCTTGCGTATTGTCCTTTACATAAAGAAAATATGTCAGTGAATAATTCGTATACGAGTGCAAACACAATACAGGTACTAGAAAAAAAACACATGTTTGGATGTTGAATGTTTGAAAGATGTAATACTGCTACTTCCAGTTTGTCTTTGGCCAGCACGTGATCCTCAGGCTGCCAAGAGATCACCGTCACCAGGGGAGAGCTCCCCGTGTAACCTGCTATTGAAACACAAGCTGTCATCGCGACGCCCTCTCCCACCCTTCGCAGACTCGTCCAGATCGACCAGTATTTCGTCAATTCACCGCTCCTCGTCAACTTCCGTCCCGTCCCGTCCCGCGTCTTCTCTGCCTCTACGAACACTTTCCCCTCTTCCTGCGCAGCTCGCGCCCGACCGCAGCGATGCTCGTCTCCCTCACTGTCGGCAAGGTCGACGCCGGCGTCACGGTGCTCCTGACACCGGATAAGCGACTGGTGTGTTACAGAACCTGCGATCCCATCCAACGGGATATACCTTTTCTTCTCATTGACTATCGCTCTCTATACTGAAACTTTCTGGATGCAGATTGAATTCCCCTCGATCCTGCTCCCGCCCGACATCTCGTCCGGCAGCATAGTTGACATCACGGTGGGCCAGAACAAGGTCAAGGAAGACATCGCGCAGCGCGAGTTCCAGGCTCTCCAGGACCAGATCTACAGCTCGTTCGGAGCTCTGGAGCCGTCGCCGCCCGCGCTGCGGTGCCGCAACGCGACGCAGACGTCAGTCGTGCTGGAGTGGGACCCGATCGAGCTGGCGACGGCGGATCTAGTGTCGCTGAGCCTGTACCGCAACGGGCAAAAGGCTGGGGCCATCCCGCGCCCGTTAGCCATGCACAGCACCAAGATCTCTGGCCTGGCCGTGGACACCGAGTACACGTTCCACCTCGTGCTGCGGACCACGGCGGGCACGCTGACGAGCGACCGCGTCGTGGTGCGCACCCACAAGATGACGGACTTGAGCGGCGTGACCGTCTCGACCGGCGTGCTCCCAGGGGCGGTCCGCGACTCCCTGACCGAGGCCATCGGCCGCATCGGCGCCAAGATGGTCGACGGCGTCCGCATCGACACGACCCACTTCGTCACCACCGAGGGCCGTGGCCAGGCCTGGGAGAAGGCCGTCGAGCTCAACATCCCCGTCGTCAGGCCCGAGTGGGTCGATGCCTGCGAGAAGAACGGCCGCATCTTGGGCGTCACAAAATTCTACCTCGACGCCATGAGGCCCGCCCCTACCAACGACGACAACCACCAGCATTCGCCCGCACCCGTGTCCGCACCGCCGCCCGCACCGATAGTCAACATCACCGCCTCGGCCGCTGCGCCTGCCCCGCCGCCCAAGTCGCCTGAGGAGGCTCCTGCTTCCGCCAGTTCGCAAGACGACGCGAAGAAGCCCTCGCCTCCGCCAAAGGACGAGGGAAGCGACGACAACGACGAAGATGATGACGATGACGATGACGGCGATGATGAAGAGGAGCATGGGTACAAGGAGGAGGAGGAAGAGCAAAAGGCAAAGTCGACTCAGGGGCAAGACGAGCAGAAGGTCTGGTTAGAAGACAAGAGCAAGGCAGCCGAGTCGAAACCTACTGAAGACGAGGAGGAGGACGAGGAAGACGAAGACGAAGACGAGGAGGAGGATGACACGAAGAAAGCCGAGCCTGCTGCTGACGCTAAGGGCAAGGACGAAAAGACCCCTGCGGCAACACCTGACGGTGCTTCCTCGTTCCAGGATGTAGCCCTATAGGACGTCTTTTCTGGATGGTTGCGCTTGAAGTGTTTCAACTCTGTCTACCGCTTTATTTAGTACTGGCTTAGTTTGGTCAATGGATGCCCGATAATGCTTCGTCAGTTGATTGTTTGAATAACCAAGCATGCTTTTTTCAACTGCTTTTTTATATTCTTCTACTAATCTCGTCCGTACAACCACCCCCAACCCCCCTCCCTATGCTAAGAAAATACCGTAAAAGACAGAAGAAAGAAGAAGTGCATATTGTAGAGTATGAAAGGAAAAGCAGAGCAAGGTCATGTAGTATGTTTGGAAGAGCAGGAAACGAATGCGCCGGCAGTTCAGATGCCCAAGGTATGGAGACAGAAGAAAAAAATTAAAGAAAGGGACGAAAACGAAGGGATATGGAGGTCAAACGCTCGCTTAAGCCTAGACAAGCAGGTGTTATCAAGGTATGGCGCTCAAAACGGGAAAAGAAAGAAGAGACAGAAAACAAGAAAGGAAAAAAACAGAGAATCTGAAAGGATTGAAAGGGGTTTGGTGTGGGGGGGGGGGGGGGTAATAGAAAAGATGAAAGGGAAACGAGAGGGAAACGGGACAGGTGGCGACGTCAAAAGGCCGAGAGTAACCCGCTTCGTCCAGTCTTCATCTGTCGCAGCTTGGCAGCACCAGCCAGCTCCCTCATGAGGGGTTCTATGGTGTCCAGGCCGGACATCTCATTGTTGCTGCTGCTCCCCGTGCTGTCGCGCCACCTGAACGACGCGTCGTGGTCATCATCCACACCGTCACCCTCTTCGTCGTCGTCGTCATCGTCGTCGCCGCCGTTGTTGCTGCTGATGATTCCGTCCGGACGAGCCCCGAAGCCGGGGATCCTCCCGGAGCAGGTCGTGGGTCGTCGCACGGGCGGGGCCCTGCCGGTGCCGAGGTCGTACCTCTGCTGAGCACGCTGCCGCTGAAGCGGGGACTCGTAGTAGTCCGAGTCCTTCCCGGCCGATGCCGCGGCTGCTATGGCGGCCGATGTCGTCGATGTTCCCGGCCGACCGACCCGGTTGAGATTCTCGAGCACGGGGACGAGAGCACGCAACCACACGTCTCCGTTGCGCTCGAGCCGGCGCACGCGACGCTCCATGTCGCGGAAGCGGTGCTCCCTGTACGCCTCGTAGAGCCTGAGGATCTCCCTGTCCAGGTTCTGCTGGTGGCGGCGGGAATCCGTCGTGTTGTCCCCTCCCTTGCTGTCGACTGCCGACTGCCGGGCTGATGGGGCCGTGGTGGTGGTCGTGGTAGACTTGCGCTGCTGGGGCTGCTGGTGCTGGTCCTGATCGCGACGCGACGAGGCGGCGTCCCGCTCCCGACGATGCTGAAGGGATGACCTGTCCGCCACGCTTCTTTGCCGCATCGGAGGCGTGCTGTCCGGGGACATGGGTGGCGTGGGCTGGTTTGGGGCGTTGGCGCTGGCGACGGACGAGCGTTGCCGGTGACCCTTGGGGCCGGCGCCGCCATCCTCGTCTGCAAAGGCGCCGCGGTCGGTCGACGGCGTGTCCGTCAGGGTGGGTTCCGACGGGGTGGGGGACGGCCTGATGTCCATCACGGTGCGGATGGGGCTGAGGGCCGGCTGCGTAGTGGCAGCAGAAGCAGCAGAGGCAGAGGCGGCAGTGGCAGGGGCGGCAGTGGCGGCGACGGTGGAGGCAGCGTCGCCGGGCTGCTTCTGCTTGCCGTCTGCCCGTGCAGCCTCGATGTCTCGCCTCTTGCGATCGCGCACGCGGGCCCGTCGGCTCTGCACCGAGTCGTTCCGCGACAGAGCCGCTCCTTCGGGGTCCCGCGGTCCGAGGGGATTCTCCCTCATGACGGTGGCGCCCGACTCGCTGCTGATGACATCCTTGTCCTTGTCGCCGCCTCCATCCTCCCTGGGCTTGGCGGCGGCGGCTGCGGCGACGGTCTGGACCTTGGCGAACCATTCCCTCTCGTCCAGCGACCAGTCGCTCTTGGGGCCGGGCGAGGGCGTCTGCCTGGCCTTGCCGTTGCCGTTCTGGGGCTGCTGGTGGGAGAGCACGCCATCGATGGACGAGTGCTGCTGGTGCTGCTGGTGCTGCTGGTGGTGATGGGCCGGTGTCTGGCTCGACCTGGAGGGCATGCGGCTGGGCCCGCTGCCGTTCCCGGCCGCGGCATCGTCCCCTCCCGGACGCGGGGAGGCCCCGGCACGGACGGAGGAAGGCGACGGCACGAAGCCGTTGACGCTGGAGTGGCCGGCCCTCGACGGGGGCAGGGACATGGACTGGCTGTGGGAGCGGCGAGGGACGAGGTCGGACGGGTAGCCCAGCGGTTCGTTGACCTCGTCGACGGTCTTGAGGACGGTGACGACGCCCTTGTCGTTGACAACGGTGCGGACGGGGCTGGACACGAGCGGCGTGTCGCCGCTGTCGGTCTCGCCGCGGTAGACGGGGTACTGGGAGCGCGGCCTGTCGTCGCGCAGGGGGAAGGCCTCGGAGGGTATGGTGATGGCTATGTGACGGTGGCCGCCGATGGTGGTGCCCGAGACGGCCGTGTCGGGGAGGAGGATGCGCGGCGGCCGGCGACGGGGGCCGAAGCCGAAGCCGAAGCCGGAGCCGAAGCCGGAACCGGAACTGGAGCCGTGGGGGGCGTGGCGTTTGGCCATCCTGGTGGCCCAGTTCAGCAGCCACCGGCGCCTCTCGTCCTGGGCGTTCTCAGGCATGGACATGTAGTTTCCCGGGGGCGGGACGTGATTCCTCAGAAAGTCGATGAGGTCGGTGAGTCCATCGTCGTCGTCGTCGACGCCGTCGGGGTAGCGTATGCCGATGTCTCCTTCTTCTCCGCCCTGGTACGAGAGGTCGAAGCTCCTATCCAGGATAGCAGAGGTCGACTTTGCGCGATGGATGCCGCCGCGACGCGAGCCCGGCTGCTTCTTGACTGCTGCTGCTGCTGCTGCTGCCGTCGCCGTCGCCGCCGCAGTGGCCGCAGCAGTGGTATCCAGAGACGAGCTATGCCGTCGAGGAGGCCGTCGTCGTCGCCGCGAGGAGGAAGATGGGAGGTACAGAGGGTCGCCGCGTGAAGGATGGAGGTAGCTGCTGTTGCTTCCGGACAGGGCTTCGGGGGACAAGGTGGTGGTCGAGGAAGAGAAGCGATGATGGCCGGACGAAGAGGCCGTATTAAGCCTGACGGAGATGGCCATAATGTCGGCGGCGGGGCGGGGACGGGAAGGGAACGAAGGAAGAGAGAGAGACAGAACACTGGCACACCTTTCTCTGTGGGTGAGACAATCTCGACAGAGCGTGTAAGGGAGAGGACGGGAGGGGGGGAGGGTGGGACTCTCTCTCTCTCTCTCTCTCTCTCTCTCTCTCCCTCTCTGTCTCTGGGCTTGGTCCTGGTCCTTCTTGTCTAAGAGGAGTGGGCCAGGAAGCTACCAACTGCCAACAAGGAACAAAGGTCAAGGTTGGTGACGTACAGGTTTACCTGCGCTAGAGATCTGTTAGTATGGAAACTAGTGGTTTCTCACGATTGCTGCACTGTGACATCGGATCCATCAGACGGCATGTCCCCGATTTTCCATCCTGTCATTGATGGGACTTTGGGAGAGGGGAGGGGGTTTGCTAATCAGAGACTCGTGAGAAAGGTCTGGAGCGGGTTGGTTCGAGGAAACCGGACGCTCTGCGCAAGGGAGGGGGGAGGGAGACAGAGAGAGATTGTATACAGGTAGTTGCAAGACACACATACAAGGGTTCATGAATGAAGAACGGTACACGGTATCTGGCCAAGAAAGAAGAAGTCTGTGTCCTAGACAATGGCAGGCCTCTTTTCTTTCTTCTCCTCCTCCTCCTCCTTCTTCTTCTTCTCCTCTCTTCCTTCCTCAGCAAGGGGGTTTGGCAAGACAAAAGAAGGTGGCTGAAGAGTTGACGCTGGTGATATGAGGTTGGCTGCCAGGACTAAATCTCATCATCTGACAAACTGATACGGAGGGAGTACGGGCCGCCTGGTGTTATATCATATATGATCCATATCCATATCCGTATCAAGGGGTCCAAGGAGACAAACAAAGGGTCGGGAAGAGGGCCAAACGAAAGAGAAAAAAAAGAGGTTGGTGAGAAGGTTAGGAGGGGGGGGGAGAGGGAGAGCTGTCAACTAAGCTCCGCTCTCCCCCCTCTCACCCGGGATTTAATTTTTACAAAAGTATTATTATCCGTTGATATACGGAAAACGACTTTTTTTTTTTTGTTTATTTATTACGAGTTGACAGTAGTAGGAGGGAGAGAGAAGAAAAAGCAATTATTACGCTATGCTAAACCCAAGGGGGGGGCTGTTTAGATTGGCCATGTATACATACATACGTACATGGGAAGTATGGGAAGTATGGTTATGGTTACTGTACGTATCGTATCATGGCGGCAAACCCCCAATCGATCATGCCGTATCTGTACTTCGTCTCTCTACCTCTCCTCTCCTTGGCTGTTGAAGAAAAGAAAAGAAGGATGCAAGGTAATCAATGGGAACATGGAAAGTGAATAGAGTGGTTGCATGGTGCGAGGACAGTATCACGAGTACATGTCTAGTTTTGTGATGTACTAATCTCTAACGTGTACAGATGTGTAGTAAGTATATTTTTATAGTATTTTTATAATATTTTTATAGTATTTCTATAGTATTTCTATAGTATTCTTATGGTATCATTATATACGTACAGATTACTACTCTCCTAGCAATGCAGTATTTATGTAGTACCATCTAGATGATCCGTACTCATATACGTATTATTACTGTACGAGTATAACAGGTATTATCATAGCAGGTATTGATACGTGCTCCGTAATGCCGGTGGTGAATACCTGGTAGCTTCATTCAACATCGAGACCTCCTCCCAAGTATCACGGATCATGCTGGTAATAATCCTAATATAATACTCAACCATCTCGATAGATCGCGATCTGTAGAGTGTATCAACATTACATACATACATACATACATACATACATACATACATACATACATACATACATACATATATATATATATATATATATATAAATATTGTTTGTATCTGTTTGTATCAAACAGCCAAATGCAACCGGAAGAAGGGATAACCCGGTACCGGGGTTGTTGCCTCAGGATGACTTGGCAAACGTACATATTACTATCACGAAGAGAGTCATCCTAGAAAATACAACTATCAATCATCACATCCGCAAGGGCTCTTCTTGAAGAAGGAGCTGATGCACCTGCGATATCGTACGGTGAAGACAAAGGAAGAAAGACGATACCAACACAACCCTTAGATGGCTCCGTATCGATACTCCGTACTCCCTATTAACCGCTCGTCAGACCCCCATTTCCCAGCTCATCCAACTCATCCAACCACTTCCCCTGCCACCCCCCCTGCCACCCCCTGCCACCCCCATCTCCTACCCATGTCTTTCCTTTCTTTTTCTTCTTCTCCGTCATCTCTCCTCTCCTCTCCTCACAGCTATGACCTCGTCACCTACAGACCAATATAAGCTCTCGTAGACTGTTGCTCCGTGATAGTGACAGTACTCTGGTAGTACCCGTCCCCTACAGGTTGTGAATCTTTGATCTCTCCCCTCTCCCCCCTCCCCCCTCTTCCTCACCACCACGATCATCATCATCATCGTCATCATCATCGGGGACACTTCTTCCATTCAAACTCCTCATATCAATCCATCTCCATACACAAGTGTGATACTACTACTACATGACCGCGTTCATCCCAATCTTTCCCTACTCTACTCTACACCTTGATCCTCTTACCCTCTCTTCCTGCTCGCACTTGCATCAATGTACGAGTACGGACAGGTAGCCGCCGATCTGAAGACTTAGTTGACCAGTCCAGTCCAGTCCAATCCCCTAGCAGATCCGAACCCAACCAGATGGTCACCTGCTGCACGCTCGGACCCTCCATCCACCCCGTTCTCGTCCTCCCGGCTTCTCTCGAGCTGATTCACGCTGCATAATACGACCCCTGCCAGGTACCGAGCATGTACTCCGTAATGCTGGGCAGCAGCAGTAGCATCAGTAGCTATGAGTAGCCGCAATACCTCAAGTCCTCGCCTCGTTTTCGGTCCGACAATCGACGACGAGCGCATCCGACTACTCCTCGTAAATCTAAGCACAAAGTGCGTACGGAGCAACAAAAGGAAACCCTCCACTACCCCACTTCTATCCTGACTTGGCTTCTCGGCAGGATCCAAATTCCTCCCTGAGAGGCAAAAAGAAAAAAAGAAAAAAAAAAAAGAAAAGAAAAAGGCGGATATTACATGTTCTATAACCTTCCCGACGCCATCGATGCCGTGTCCTGTCTTCTCTCTAGACGGATGCCAACATTACGCTCGAAGAGAAAAATAGAGGGTAAAGAGGAAGAACAAGAAGAAGAAGAAGAGTGACCAAGCAAGAGATCAGACAAGATGTGGTCTACTTCTTCCGTGGCACGAATAGACTAGGTTTGGCCTTTTTTCGAGGAGGCGCTGGTCCCAGAGTTCGTTCCTGGAAGAGAAGAGAGGAGGGGAAGTCAGCCGTGCATGTACTGTAAAGCATCTAGAAGGTATCAGGTTCCAGGCTTCCAACATACCCGAGGTCCGGTCGGTGCGTGTGGTGGTGCTTGTGCCTGCGGAGGCGGTGGCCTCTCTGGCGGCGTCATCCCCAGCACCGACATGGCCGATGGGTCGGTCGGTGGCTTGGGCTGACGTATCTTGCCTGCTCCTCCTCCTGACCCTGACCCTCCGGGTTTCTGTCCGAATTTGCTCATCATGGCTGATCGAGGTGGGCCGCTTGCAGACTGTCGTTTACTGTTAGTGATATGATCTCCTTCCTGATCGGCGTGAATGTACCGGTCTGTAGGACCGTTGCACGCGGACATACCCTCTTGGAGCTAGGCTGGTTGCCGTCGGGGCTATCCAGGGACCTCTTCTTGGCCTCGGACGTGGTCTGCCCGCTATCCGCCGCCGTGCGAATGGCTGGGGGACCCCCGGACCGGGGGACGACGGGGGACGGGTTGGCGCCTTGGCCGGACTCGACTACCCCCGTCATCGTCGTCGTCGTCGTCGTCGTCGTCGTCGTCAGCCGTGGCTGCTGCTGCTGCTGCTGCTGCTGCTGCTGCTGTTGCGCATGCGGATGCGCAGAGGCATCGGCCATGACCACGTCCTCATTGTCGCTGCCATATCCCATCTTCGGCTGCGGCCCCTCCAGAAACGCCGACGCGGGGGCCTTCTCCAGAGGTTGGCGGAACATGGACACGACATCTCCCGATGTGTAGCAGTCCCTCGCCCGGGAGTCTTCTATGAGCTTCTTCCAGAACTCACCCTGCACGAGGGCGCGCGAGTCTCCCAGGATCCAGAGCGACGACTTGGCACGCGTGAGACCGACGTTCATTCGCCGGATGTCCGTCATGAAGCCGATACCACCCGTAGAGCTGGCACGCACGCACGAGAAGATGATGATCTCGCACTCGCGGCCCTGGAAGGCGTCCGTCGTGTTGAACTCGATCACGTCCGTGATGCCGTCCCCGTACCGGGCCGTGAACCGCGACCGCAGCTCGAACAGCTGCGCCTTGTAGGGGGTGATGATGCCGATCTTGCGCTGCAGGTCGCACTCTCGGTAGTCGCGGCTGAACCGCTCGTACATCTGCATGGCCACGTCCAGCTCCCTCGTGTTGACCAGCGACTGGCCCTTGCGGCCGCGTGACTGCACGCCTTGCACGTCGAAGAACCGGTACGGGCCGAACAGCTTGCTCTGGTGCCACGGCTGTCGCCGCAGGCGCAGCATATCCTGTCCATCCTTGAGCTGTCCTTCGTAGAATTCCTTGCTGGGGAACGCGCTGATCTGCGGGTGCATGCGGTACTGCATGTCGAGCAGGTGCACCGAATTCGGATGGTTCTGCTGCATGCGCACAAACAGACTCTGGTCATAACCGAACCGCGCCGCCGACTGTGAGAGGACCGTGGGCGGCAGCTGCTTGGGGTCACCGACCAGGATACACTTGCAGCAGCCGTACTTGAGCGGGATCAGGGCGCTGAGCTCCACGCACTGCGCGGCCTCGTCGATCAGGACCGTCTCGAACTCCACGTCCAAGTTGCGGAACATTTCGTGGCCGCTACCGCTCAGCGTCGCGCAGAGAACGTGCGCCCCGTTGAGGATCTCCTGCTGGATCTGTCGGCGTCGGAGCTCCGTCTCTCGCGCAATCGAATTGCCGCTGTCTTTGTTGGCGTCGATCTGCTTGCCAATCTGCATCTGCTGACGCTTGAGCTCGTCGAACCGTCGCGACAGCGCCTCGTACGTGCTGCGCTCCTGACCCCTGGCTGCCTCCAGCATCGGCCGCAGCTCGCCCAGCTCCTCCTTGATCTTCGAGGCATCCTCATGAAGCTTGTCGCGGTCGGCCTTGGCCTTGTCTCTGGTCCCGTCGCCCTCGAGCTTCGCCTTCACCAGCTCGTCAAGGGTGACGTCCTTGACGCCTGCGTTGATAGCATCGCTCCGTCCGAGACGCAGCACATTGATGTTCACCTTCTTGCCGTTGATGGTCGTGATGCCGCTCTTGAGTCGCAGGACGAGCTCGTCGACGGCGGCGTTGCTGGGCGCGCAGACAAGGAGCTTCTTCTGCTGGCTCTGGTTGCTTACATGGGATGCTCCTGCTGCTCCCGGTCGGATGGGGACTCCGACCGGCGTGCCCGCATTCGGCTGCGAGCCGAGCTGTTCAGACAACAGGGCACCGACCATGGCAACGATCGTCTTTGTCTTTCCTGTTCCGGGGGGGCCCTGAATCAAGGTAAACCCGTCGTTTTCGTGCGCTCCTAGGACAGCCATAGCCTGGCCGCGGTTGAGGTTCCAGTTGTCCTGCCACTTTGCGACCTTCTCGTCACCGTACCGGAGGATGGGCGACGGCTCGGCCTTGAGGATCTCGTCCATGAGGTCGTAGTACTGCAAGCTCTCCAGCGCTGCATACTCCCGCTCGATGGTTGTCATGTTTGTAATCTTGATACCGTGGACGCTGGCACCTGGGTTCAGGAGCGGCGAGAGAGGGTTATTCCGGGACGCCACACGGTAGGTGATCTCGATGATATCCTTCTTGTACTTGATCCTGTGAACCCGCGCGAGGCAGTGCCTAACGTCCGACTCGAGAAGGGGGCTTTCAGACTCGGATACCAGGAGGATATCGCCTTCGGAGACACCACGGTCCCTGTTCTGGACTATGGGCATGGTAAAGGTCACCTCCAGAAAGCTGTCAACGCTTGCGCGACTGGCAATCTTCATGCCAAAAGGCTGAGCCGTAATCTCGTCCTTGGCCGTGACAAAGGACCGCCATGCTTCGGATGCGAGCAGAGGGAAGAAGGTTTCCTGGTACGACTTAGGATTGGCATACTCCGTCCCGACTCGGCTGCCAGACGGACCGCTCGGGGGATCGTTGCCCTCGTGAAATATTTCCCAGGCAAGGACGGTGTTGTGGAGCTTTTCCATGGGCGGGATCAGTCGTGCCCTCATCTCCTTGACAGACCGCTGCTGCTTGACCTTCTTGACGGGCCTGCGCATCTTGTCACGCAGCGCCTGGCGGTTGCGCCTCTCGGCCTCGTCCAACGTCTTCTTGCCGCCGATGCTCAGTGCCGCGAGCTGGTTGTCGCTGTCGGAGTCGGAATCGATCTCGGACTCCTCGTCCGAACTGTTGACCATGATCTCGCTGCGAGAGTGGTCCTTGCCGATCACGGCGAACCCAGCCAGGCTAGAGCCCTCGCCAGGGACCAGCTCGCCCCGTAGCGCTCTGGCCTTGGCGATGACCTCGGCATCGCGTCTGGCTCTTTCAGCCTTCTCGCGCTGTCGGCTCTCCTTGAGGGCTGAGATGGCTTTCTGGTCAGGCACCTTGGCCTTCGCCTTGACCCTGGCTTCCGCCGCCCTCTGCGCTTCGAGTTTCTTGAGGATGGGGCTGTCGATGGACTTGCTCAGTGCCAGAACGTCGTCCCGATTCGTCCTGAGGTCTCCCGGCACGGCACCGGGAGTGCCCGACTTAGACCAGGCATCAAGCCTGCTCTGTTTCTTGAGCTGGTCCTTGGCCCTATCCGCAGCGCGGCTCGGGAGGACGGCGGATTGGCGGGCCTTGATCTCCTCTTCGACGTGGCCGAGTGCTTGGAGGAGCTCGGCTCGCTGCTGGTCCGTGAGGTTCGTAGGTCGCCGGTACTTTCCTGGCATTTCGGTCGACACACATGCATCCATGATGAGTTTCCGAGAGTCCTCGGCAATTTCCAGGCTATTCTCCCGAAGCCGCTCGAGGATCTTGCAGAGGACCCTGACGGTGACGTCGACAAGCCACCTGTCTTTGAGTCGGATCATGTTCTCCATGCCTCGAAAGTTGTCCTTGGCTGGCTGGAGGATCTTGACCATCATATGCGACACCTCCTTATTGGTGGCGGTAGCGATGGCCGAAGTGAGTAATCCGTCTTCCGCAATCAGGGCCTCGGCCAACTCCATGATCTCACGGCAGAAGTCCTGCATAGTGCTGTTGGGGATGTACAGCGACCAAGGCTCGATGTTTCGGCACGACAAAGAGACGAAGTGCCATTGCTCCTGCCACCAGCGGAGGAGCATGGCGACAGTCTTGGGCTCCAGCGTCCTGACACGGAGGACACCACCGGTGACGTCACAGAGGCCTCGCAGGATGTCCCGGCTCATGTTCTGGATGGGGCGGATCGGGTCCCAAGGGCACTGTTGCTTTGGGAAGCCCGGGGGAGGCCTCAGAACCCTGTCGAGGACGAACATGGATGCCCTCAAAGTCTGGTCAGGGTGCAGCTGGGCCATCTGCTCAAACGCCTGGCTGCGGGCAATTTCACCGGTCCAGCTCTTGAGGAGTTCGGCCGACGCTTCGGCCAAGTCAGATTCGCCCTGCATGGCCACGCCAACGGTAACCTGGAAAGCGCGTTGGCTGGCGAAGAGGCCACTCAGGTCCGTCGTATCCAGCTCGGAGAGTCTGCTGAATATCCTCGCCAGGACGTCCGTCGTGTCACCAAATGCCTGGTTGAACAACTTGCTCGATTCATCCAGACGGGTGTCCTTCTTCTTCGGGCGAATGGGCTCGAGCCTCACGATGGGCTCGAGGGAGAGCAGAAAGTCCCCAGCCAGCTCTGCTTGCTGTGACGACGAATCGAACATTTCCACCACACCCTCCCAGAAGTCCTTGGATTGCCTCGTAATGGCCGACTGGATCTGCGCGCCGCCCCGTAGTGAATGGTACTCGATCGCAAAGAGCTTAATATCCAGCCACATGGCGGCCACCATAGTTTTGCGGGCTGCTGAAGCTACGTGAAATGTTTTCCATCCTATGTGCTCTTCCTTTGGCGTCTGCAGCTGGTCTAGTATGAGCGCCCTGTGCTTCATGACCATGTTGAAGGCACAGTTGGCATATAGGTGCGTGGTGCCGGTACCCGTGGTCTCTTGCTCGAGAAATGTCCCGACTGTGAAGCTCAGAGCGTCAAAGCCTGCACGGAGGCAGGCAGCTCGGCCGGGCTCAGTCATGCTCACATCCTTAGTCATGGTCTCGAAGAGTGTGTGCAGGAGGACTTCGCAAGCATCGTATCGTCTGTCCCGTCCGAGAGACTGAAGCCAAGGACCAATCCAGGATATGGGGAAGGGAGTGGCCTCGGGCCCAGTCTCAGAGCCACTCCAGCAATCATCGAGTGACTGGCAAAGAAGAGTGCGGTAGACGGGGCTCCCAAAGATGAGATCGGCAATGACGTTGGGCCGCGCATCACCAACGACATCCCAGAAAGCCTTGGGGGATTTTTTCAGCAACGTGGTTAGGATGCGAATGGCGGCCACAAGAACGCTCTCGCTTCTGCAAAACTGGATATGGCGAAACAGCAAATCGTATATGTGTGGGGATCCAGGCTTTACCTCGAGGCTACGGAGGCGACCCAAGATGAGTTCGCCGTTGAGGGTCCTCAGGATCTTCTCGAATCCGAGCCAAAACCTTTCGATCTCGATGTAGGTCTCGGTCCCAGGTTGCACGAGATCTTTCCGACTGGCCTCGTCAATGGCAGCAACCAGGCCGCCGCTGACGGCCCAATCAAACTGCTCCTCCGACATGGAATCGGTGTCAATGTTCTTCCAATTCTCATGGGCCCAGTTGCGGCGATCCTCATTCTTCTGGTCGAAGAGGAGATATGTCATCCCGGGAAGGGGGTCCTTGGTCCCAAGCTTCAGGTATGATTTCCCTTGCAGCCTCATGAAGACGTACTGGAAGGTCGTCCGTTGGACGGGCTCCTTCATGTACGAGACGCAGCATAGTGCCTCGTAGATGGCGATATGCACTTCGGGAAGGTGTGCGCCAAAGGCGGATTTCTTGAAGACGGTCCCTGTTGCCTCGATCTTCTCGATGAAATCTTTGGCCCACTTGAGGTTGTGATCGATTCGGTTGACGTCCAGGCGGTCGAGAAGTTCTTGGATCTGCGAGACGGCATCTTCATCCCAACGCCTACATGCCCGTGATTAGCCTCACCCACACAGCCAGAATCGAAACAGCGCATACTCGGCAAATTTCTGGAGATGAGCTCTGCGCTTCATGTGCCAATTCAGCACACAATCGGAGCAGAACTTGAGGGAGCCGTCAAGACGTTCGGTGAAGTCGTCGAGCCACTTGCCAGCATCGCGTTTGTCGAAGCCAAATATCAAGCTGTTCCAGTATGTAATCTCGATTCGATCGTCCCCATCCTGTATGCGTTTCTTCTTTTCTTCAATGGAGATCTCAGAGGCAGGGTCGTTCAGTGTTCGGTAGTTTTCGACATCCTCGTCGGAGAGTTTGGGGCACAAGAGGTGCTGCTCAGCCGGGACAGCCTGGAGCTTCTCGAACCATTTCGCTAACTCCTCGTTGAGATCTGACATTGTGTCGGTTCACTGCCAACACTCATTGCGGTCTCTTTTCTTTCTCTCTTCTTTTCCTTTCAACGATGCGCGGAGGCGAGAGGTGATCGGGCTTCGTCAGGATTCGAAGAGGAAGGTGATTGAAGAAAACCTGTCGTCGAAGGTGGTCAGAGTTTGATGCAAAGGGGAGAGAATGGGGCACCATGGCAGCGGGTGATGGATGGCAGGGGAGCGGAAGAGACGGGAACGAAGGGATGACATAGCAGCGGTGCTGAAGACCGCACGTAACCAAAAGCGACGTATCGGAGGGATCGCGCAGGCACGGAGAGGCAAAAGGCCAAACAGACGGCCGACGGTCGTTGATCCAATGTTGCCGCGTACACGCTACGGGCAGAGGCTTCCCAGCTTGCAAAACGCAGCAAACCAAGAGACGCCTCCAAGGAGAGAAGAGAAAAGACAGAGCTACGTGGGAAGAGCGAAGAAGATAGAGTGGCGAGGCCTCACCTGACAAGTCGATGTTGTGACCGCGAGATTCCAGGGCTCGTACCGGCCGTGGGACCGCTGTTGCAGGTTGCACGGTCGTATGTGGTTGGAACCAAGATTCGATGACAGGCAGACAGTACGAGTAAAGTATTACGGAGTAATAATACTGCCCACAGTAACGACTGGACTCGACGAGTACTCCGTAATACGCGCTTCCCAGATTCGCGCCTAAAAAGTTTTGGGAGCAGGGTGTTAGATAGAAAAAGGTGGATAAGTGGGGCGAAGCACCCTGGAGTTCATTGTCAGAATAAGGCAGGCGGTGTCAGTCCTCACACGACCAACTTCGTCCAGGAAAAAGTAAGTATACAGTGAGTGCTCCGTAGTAATGATGCCTTCAAGGCTGCAAAATCCCTACGGGGTAATACCAATAGCGTAGCATTACCCGCTGTGAGTATGAGCTGCAGCAGTGACGCCCCTGAGTGGCGTGTGGCACCTGTAAGTCATCAATCATCCCGCCATCCTTCCAATCCATCCATGGACTCCATATGGACGTCATCAATATTACTCCGTAATATGTACGGATTGCATCCCAACGCCATCCCTACTACCAGCAGTACGTACTCTCTACTGCATCCTTATTTTCCCTCTCTTCAAAACGGATACTTATAGTAATACCGTCCATGTATGTATATATCAATACTACGGCGTCACGACATGCATCGTTCATTTTCGCCAGCCTAGCATGCTCCCACATCTGACATCACCATCATTTCACCGGTTACCCTCGACTCTCGAGAGGGGTAGCCCAAAAGAAAAAGTAGATGTCTTCTCTCCCCTAATCTGACAAAGGCCAGACAAAAACTGTCAGTGCTATTCATTTCGCAGTCCAGAGGCCCAAAGACCGTATTCCGGCATCGCCGCCTTGTCGATCCAGCTCGGCTTGAATCATCCTTGTCTCTATGCGTGTTCTGGGCCTATCGCTCAAGTTCATACATCAAGACCATAGAGTCAAGAGAGAGACTTCCGAGTCCGCGGTAGCCTCGCCCGTCGAACCCTAGCTTGGTTCCTTGTGAGGTTTCCGTAGTATTATCCAGTGTTTTGATGCCCCTTGCTGATCGTGGCAATATGCCTGCCGCGGAGTGGTTCACCTGGAATTTATACGATGCAAGTAGATGGCTCAGAAACTTCTCACTTGTCTAAGCATCATTGTTTTTGTTCTATTTTTTCGTGTGCTACCTAATCCAGAGGCCATATTCTATCCCTTCCCTACCGTCTAGATATCCGGCCCGAGAGTATTTACTCATCTTCGTCACAACTGGTCTCGTGCACCTCAAGTGTCCTCGAGTCCCTTGGGCTATCGGAGTATATCATCGCTCTCCAGACATCTCTTTCTTCCTGAACGAGTACTGACCTTCAAAGACACTGAGTCTTGTTTTGACCTCTTCCCGTCCAGTCCCATATATCCCCTCTGTAAGGGCCGACAACGTCTTCCCTGAAAATAGCCTTAGAATATGGAACTGTCCCCAGATCCGTTCTTCTTTCACGGTGAGGACGTCGAGTTGGTCACGCAACGGCAAAGCACCAGCCGGGACACCTCTTTGACCTGCACGGTTTTCGACGAGCCAACCGGCAACGTGATAAGCCTTGCCTCCGTTGGGGTGACTGACGGGACAGTGGACCTGACCGACGACGGCGTACCAGGCGAGGTGATCGATCTCACCTGTGAAGAACCTATCGACGACGTTGTTGATCTCACGATCGATGAATCAAACCTCTCCTACAGAGCTCTCCACGAGGGCGAATATGCCCTAGCTAGTTGCCGTGTGTCTGGGAGTGTCGTGGAGCGGGACGACTGCGTCGAAGTCCTGGATACGAGCTTGGGCGCCTACAAGGTCAGCTTCGTCATTGTCAAGGCCATTGTGTCGGCTCGCCCGGGATCCGTAATCATACGAGGAATCCCTCTATCAAGGACCAGGGATCTAGCGGGCATGCTTCCCAAGAAACGGGACGAAGTTTGCCAAGTTCTCCACATCAACAGAGACGGCGGCCAAAACGAGGCACCGGGACTCATAGATGTCAACCTCTCGTCGGTTGTCGCCAAGAGAGCGGTCATCATGACGAACTCTCTATGGCCCAAGCACAGCAGCATACTCTCATCTCGGGACCTGGATGGACACCAGGGATCACTCGTTTGCCGGTGGTCTTTCCGCATATACTCGACGTCAGAGGGTCGAAGATCCAAGCCTATAGAAGAGGCCCTAGAGCGAATCCAGCCGAGCGAAGTCATCAACCCCCAGTACCGAGATCTGGAAGACGACCAGTGCTACCAGTGGCGTGGAGGACGGGTACCCGGAGGCTCGTGGCGTCCAGAAGCTCCGAGAGAGCCGCACGTCGATATCGTCCATCTAGACGCTGAAACGAGCCATAAAGCCGAGCATCGCGAGCGCCTCCGGTATCGTCAGCGCGGTCAAAAGTACACGGTCTTTGACTCCTTCTGTGGAGCTGGAGGTGTGTCTAGAGGGGCTCAGACGGCTGGAATGATAGTCACCCATGCCGTGGACAAGAGCGAAGAGGTCTGTGAAACCTACAGGGCCAACTTCAGAGAGACAAGACTCTACATCGGATCCGTAGACGAATTTGTCAGTAGTCATGGGAGGCAACATTTTCGAGTCGATGTCCTGCACCTGTCCCCGCCATGCCAGTTCTTTTCCCCCGCACATACCCACACCGGCGTTAACGACGACATAAACATCTTCGCTCTCTTTTCTTGCAACTCGTTGATCAACAAAGTTCGGCCCCGGATTGTCACTGTGGAACAGACATTTGGCCTCACGCATGACCGGCATCGAGAATACTTTCATTCGCACCTCAATGATTTTACTCAGCTGGGCTACTCGGTGCGTTGGAGGGTCGTCAAGCTATGCACCTGGGGTTCTGCGCAGTCGCGCAAGCGACTGATCATGATTGCCGCTGCTCCCGGTGAGAAGCTACCGCCGTTCCCGGAAGCAACCCATTCAGAGAATGGTGACAGGCGGAGAGGGTTGAAGCCATACACAACGATACGCCAGGCGATCAGCACAATCAGGCCCAGAAGTCGTGACGAGCTTCACAATCTACACTCTGTTAGGTGGCATCACCCGCCGAGAGCCTCATACTGCCCTGATCGACTGGCCGGCACCTTGACAACAGGCGGTCCGAGCCTTATATACCCCGATGGCACTCGAGATTTTACCCTCCGAGAACAAGCCTGCCTCCAGGGATTCCCGCACTGCCATACCTTCAAGGGTACGCGGACGTCGATCAAGCGACAGATCGGAAATGCGTTCCCCCCGAACACGGTCACGGTACTATACAAGTATCTGGAGAAATGGCTCCTGCGTCAGGATGGAGTGCAACCATCGCATGCACACCCCATCATCATCAACAGTGCTGAGGATACGGTGACGGTTGCGGATGACGAGGACAGCCTGCGTATCGATATTCCCAGGAGCTCACGCCGCGTCCGGCCCACGATGCCACCGTCCATACAGGCAGCTACTACTAGGGTGGTGCCCAGCTCGATGGAGATTGACGACAAACCTGACGAAATCGTCACGGTTGATTTGACTTAGGCCAATTTGTTGAAGATGAGGGTTGGCGCTCAAACTTTTGCTTTCCTATACGGCCATGATTGTGTGCTGTCCCTATTACTGTGCTATTCCTTGGTTGGGTCACCTGCTGTCGTTCTGTCGTCTTGCTCACTTGTTGCCACACTACGACTACTGTGTGGTCTATGCCATCACAAGGAAATCTCGCTGTCTATGTCGTTTCTTCTACAGTCTTGTCGGTTGACACTCGCTGGGCTTCAGGGGGTTACATATTTCTCAGATGAGGCAACACGTATGTAGTAAAGAAGAATGGATCAGGCCGGGTCTACGGGTATTACTAATGCCGTTGAAACGGTCCTCTTCTCCGATATGTTCATATTATTCCCACCGAAAAGCCCACAGAGAAAACATCACCGGCACCTTGGATAATATAGCCACCTGGTGTTTAGAAAAGGTGTGGGTGAGTCACATGCATTCATCCATGGCACATCAATGGTTCAATGGTCGAGGTGCAATGAAATGGAAGGTGCCACGGGCAAAAATCTGAACGGTGACACAAGGAAGGTGAGGTGACTGTGACTGTGCAAACAAAGCTCACTTTAATATTATTTTTTCTTTTGTTTTCCTCTTGAATGGTGATAATGACAACACCGGAATTCCACTGAAATTGTTGAAAGAGGCACAGGACATGATAGCCTGGTAATGGAGGTATAGCCACACGCGTAGAACTATACTGTAAGGACATATTCCAGGAGGAACACGACGGATGTCCTGATGGGACATCTCCAAGGGCCGGGGGGGGGGGCAGCCCTATTCTATCTCACTCTCCTCTCGGATTCCGCCCTTCTCAAGGAGCCCCAAGAAAAAGAAAAAGAAGCATAAACCCCCCCCCAAAAAGAGGCCCCTCTCTGATACACTCACACATCTCACCTTTCGATTCCAAGCGTCTCTTCTTCCACCTTCACCTCGCATCTTTCTCTGTTCTCATGTTGATTCGTCCATGAGAGCACCAAGTTGCCTGGACCTGTTCCTTCCAGCACTCGCGTATGTTCTTCGTGTCATCGTTGACTTCGGTCTCTTGACCACTTGCCATTCCCGCAGCACCCTCTCTGCCTGCCTGCTGTGTGCTATTGGGACACGCGACACGTCAAAGATGGACTATCCACAGGTATCTCACTCTTTCGTGGACAGCGATGTGAGTAGCAGGATACCAACCCGGTCTCTTCCAGGGATATGTCCTTTCCAAACACGTACATGGGCTAAGACAGTATCTCTAGCCGACGCTCGTTCTCCACACCTTTCCAGTCCAAGATGCTTTCGTCTGGCGCCATGAGCAGGGAACCATGATCGAGATGGGCAACGAAGCCATCCTCCTGAAGCGATTCAATGACAGACGCACGCCTTTCAGATGTTGGCCCATCTCCCCTATCCCCGGTTTCACTACCTCCTTTGCCAAGTCCTGGCTCTTGATGGTCAAGGTCCCACCCGTTACAGACGACGTTGGTTTCCCTGCTGATGGTGACCACTTTTCGGTCGACCTGGAGAGGACAGTCATGGTGGGCAGCGATGGGTATACTCTGACGAACCTCTCCAGCAGCCGGATCACGAACCCCTATGAAGAGATGACAGACGTGGACGAAAACATCCGCAGGTGCGCGGCATTCAAGGTTGATGTCCCGCGTTCCTGGGAAGGTGAAGGCGGCACGAGCATCGAGCTCGAGCTCATGGACAGGTTCCGGATTGCGTCTAGCATAGACGATGTGCAGAATATCACAGTCAAAGCCAAGTCACAAATCATCACCATCCACCTAGAGACTGTGGCCAGGACACCTGAGGCCGAGCTCGAAGCTCTCCGCAGTTTCGTTTTCGAGAAAGGATGTCACGGTGGTCGCACTCCCCCCGCAAAGTCGATGACGGCGTTCCGGACGATCCAGAACTTCCACGGTGTTACCTGGGAATACACCGACCTCCATGCAGAGTTCCCCCAGCTCGCGAACCCCACGAGCCCCTCGTATCGGGTGTCCCCGTTCCTCCAACAGAAGGTCAAAGAGTTCAATGCAGACCAAAAAGCAGCGTACGACGGACTCACCCAGATTCGAAATGGGCTTTTCTTTGTCAACGGGTGTCCAGGTTCCGGAAAGACGGAATGGAATCTCGTCCTCTCAGCCCTCATTCAGTCCAGCCCCCGTCAAGGTTCGAAAAGGAAGCGCAGCCCTATCCTCTTCCTGGTGGATATCAACAAGACGGCCGACGATGCAGCCAATCGTTACTTGGCCTTGTGCAAAGCATCCGGTCTCAACACCAAGGCCATCCGCATGTACGGGTGGCCGTACGAGATGCGCAACAGCGACAAGCTTCAGGGCCTGGCGAACCTGGAAAACCTAGAACTCGATGACAAGGATTCCAAGGGGGTAGATTTCACCAGGACGTTCTTGACAACGGCCAATCTGGCGAGAAACAGTAGTCTGAAGCGAGGCACTGACAGGGCTCCCACCCTAGACGAAGCATCCTGGGACTATTACGATCTCCGTAGAGACGAAAAGGCCTTTACGCCTCTCTCGGTGTTTCTCGACAAGATGGGGACGGGCGAAGCACTCAGCACTTCGGACTGGAAGGTTATGCGAAAGCTAGTCTCGCAGCTCTACCGCAAAGTCCTGGCCGAGGTCGACTTTGTCGCCACAACACCGGTGGCAGCAAGCGGTGCCTTTTCCCGTTTCTTTCGGCCTGGAGTCGTCTTCTTCGACGAAGCGCCCCACGCCCGGGAGCTGTCTACGCTGATCCCGATTGCCTACTTTGAACCCCTGGCCTGGATCTTTACGGGTGACGTCCACCAGACACAGCCGTTCGTCAAGGGCGCCGACAAGCGTAGCGTAGAGCTCCAGGGGCTCAGGTACAACCCGTTTGTGGAGCAGCTTCGATTTAGCACCATGGCGCGGGCGGCGACGGTTGGCGCCCTGGATGGGCAGCTGCTGGTCAACAAGAGAGCGCACGGCAATCTTCACCGTCTCTCGTCGGAGCTGTTCTACAGCGCCAGCATGAGGTCGGTGCATGAGACGCCGGGAGCCATGTATCCGCCAAGCACGTTGCACCTCAAGAAACACCTGGAGAGCCTAGGAGGGAATAGGGGTGGCCTGAGCGAGAACCGAATTATTGTACAGCTGGACTCGGGATGCGAGCGGGAGGAGCGGCGCAGCTTCTGGAACCCGGTGAATCACCGATGGGTCATGAAGCAGGTCGAGATCCTGCTGAAGGACGAGGCGTTCCAGAGCACCTCCAGCGAGGGCTCGCCGGGGACAGTCATCATCATGAGCCCGTACAGCACGGCGCTGCGGCGATACGATGCAGCAGTGAAGCAGTGGCCGGACGAGTGGAGGCGGCGGGTGCAGGTCCTGACGGTGGACAGGGCCCAGGGCAACCAGGCCGACGTTGTGGTTCTGGACATGGTGCTGACGACCAGGGCGGGGTTCATGGACGACTGCCGGCGGCTCAACGTGGCCATCACGCGTGCCAGACAGGCGGAGATTATTGTGATGCACGAGATGATGACGATGCGCAGGGCGCGCGTGAAGACGCGTTACACGTCGAGGCTATGGGATGATGCCGCAGCGGACGGGAGGGTGTTTAAGCTGGAGGCTTAGTTGAAGAAGGACTGAGCACGATTCATGATTCATGGTTCATGGTTCATGGTCCACGGTTCAGGGCGCAAAGGGGGTAGATGAGGAAGAGGTCATGTCTCCTTCTCCTGCACGGCTTTAGTCAAACGTGACGAGTACGCGTATTGGACATGGAGGTAGCTGAATAGATGTCAGACGAAGAGAGAAGTATGAGTAGTGGCCCAATCTGCCGGGGCGAAGGGAAAGGGAAGACAAGGTCCAGCTGTCTGTTGACCGTTCCGGTGTGTGCACGAGTAGAGAGTCCAGACTGGTAATTTAGACATACGAACGAGTACGTACCCGTACGAGTAGATGACTTATACGGGCAGCGAAAAGAAAGCAGAGTATTAATAGCCGATAGGCTACTGGCTCTTTCAAGGCCCTGCTACCACATGCGTCAATACTGTTAGACGGTAGTACTGAAAACGTAGGATCTTTTGTTACAGCCAAGGGGGGGTGTTTCTGTACAGATCATTACATGATGAGCAGGAGTGCATGTAGCGATACTCTCTGTATGGGGTTTTACTTGCATATACAAACCCAAGCTAGGTTTTTTTTTTTCCTTCTTCATATGATAATACCCTTCTCGTTTTACGTATATAGAACTGGTAACGATGATATTACAGCGTAGACTTTGAGTATCCGTCAGACTAGGCCAGTAACAGCCAAGGAGAGGAGGAGGAGTAGGAAGAGGAAGAGGAGTGAGGGCAAGACTAACAACGGGGCGGGCAAAGCTTGACTCGTGAGCGGGCACGACCTGAGCGATTTGTTCAAGGTGTGTGCTGCGCCTCGAGAGGGGAAACGGAAGTATGGAATGAAGGAGAGAATGATGATTATAAAATAAAAATGAGCAGGATTAAAATAAAAAAAGGAAAACAGCTGGCTACTGTTGCTGCCGATGCCAACATGACACTACGAGCATCGATACTAGCAGTATACATGTAATCTGTACTCGGTAGTAACAATTCAGTACTATGATTGATTGTATACAGATTATATGTAAATATGTGGAACAATGAGTAATGTCGAGTCTAGATGTAATTCCATGTCTGGCGGGCGGTGTAGGCGGATCTGCGATGGTAAATTGACGCGGAATTATTACTGCTGATGATATTGATACTCACTAGTAGCACTATCAGCAGCCTCAGGTATCTCTCAGGTATCTACCTGAGGATATCATCAGATGGAAAGACGAGTTGGTCGCAACGGGGAAGGGAGTCGAATCGTTCCGGGGGTCGGTGCAGGCGACCACAAAGGGCGAGTCTGGCCATGCACACGTATGGATGCGCAGTAACCTGTAGAGAGTGTGGCGAGGCCATTCGGGAGTAACAGCACAGTGAAATGCTCCGTAGCATTGCATAATATAATAAATAGCATGTAGCCCGTGGGGAGGGGGACGACGACGACGAGAGACCAGGGCCAGGCTACAGATTACATATTCTACAATACTCGTACTCGGGACAAGGGACGGGCTGGACACTAGCAGTGTTCTTGATAAGTTTATTTGCTCGTACGAGTACGAGGAGCCCTCTATCCGTAATCTGTACTCACATGGAGAAGGTGAGCTGCTGGCAGGAAGAGAGAGAAAGAGAGATGTCCTACCTGCAATACAACCTGATGAGCCAGTAAAGCACACACGATATACGAGCAGCACAGGTACAGCGGGCCTGTAGGTGAAACATCCGGACGGATGGTGAAGAGACCTGACGAGTGCTACGAGTGCCTGTAAGATTGCTGCGACCCTCCAGGGCTGCCGCCAGTGACCGAGGATACGACGTACAGGTACCGTACTCGCCACTTCCACTGTGGGATTAGCGGCACGGCACTCGGCAGAGAGGGATTTGAGACCTTGGCGGGCCCTGCAGACTACGAGTACCCGTGCATGTGCTACGATTGATACAGGTAGGAGACGGAGACTGCACCTGCATATGTGCAGGTAGAGACGGACGAGAATGTATGATGTGAGGACATGTATCACATTCACCGTACGGAGTATCGTAGAGCGCCGATTCAATAGTACTCTATTCTTCATTCTCTTCCCTCGAGTGGCTTAGCAGGCAATATGCCGTCTTGGCGTTGGCATACCCGGTGCGATCCAGTGATGTATTTACAGGGCAGAGCCACCGAGGGACGGGACCCGACGGCTCGCATGTGCTGTGCTGGGTTGGTGCGTTTGTGCACCTAGGGGCGGGCACAGCTAAGCATCAGTGATATCCGTGGGGATCCGTGCTAATAACGATGCCACTGTACGGGTACGGGATAGCGATACTCACCATCATGCCTGCTTAGTGCCTGCTGGGTGAGTGCCTGCTGAGTGCCTGCTGGGTACCCGACACTGTAACGGCGGGCAGCTGGGCACTGAAAGGGTTTACAGTATCGCTGTACATGATGTACCGAGTGCAGTACCGCTACATACCCGTACGAGTAATATTATATACATGATGATACAGATTATAACATACTCGTACAGTATTATTATATAATATGTAATGAATGTATGGAGAGCAGACTAACAGCTCTAGCCCCGTACCTGGCCCTCTGGTCTCCTCTCTTCAAGAGAATCCACCCACACTTTTCCCATGCTCGCGGCCCCCGCGCGCGTGAGCCACCCATCCAAACCCAGTCTACCCCCGTCTTCCTTGCCTTTTCACCTTCAGACCCCTTCCCTCTCCTCTCGGTGTTTTGCTTCTTCTTCCTCCTCTTTGCCTCTTGCCGCTAACTAGCCTATTCAGATTATTATATACTTTTTCATTTATTTATTTATTTCAACCTTTAATTTTTTTTCTTCCTCCTTCGCCTCTCCTGTCCCTTCATTCTTCTCCTTCTTCTTCTTCTTCTCCTCCTTCCCTTCTTACCCATGACCACATCGAAGATGCAGTAGCACTGGCCTTCGTCAGGACAGAGCGAGCAGAGAGAGCGCGCTGCCTGTTCCCTTTGGCAGTCGCCGCTGCCCCTCTCATGTTTTGCGGCTTGGATATTGTCCCCACAGACAGCAGAGAGTAAACCCCATCCATACCACGATCCAACGACGGGGGGGGGGGGTTACTCGTACCTGTACCACCGCACACACACACGCAGCACACACCACCCCACCCCTGTTTTGCCCGTGGGCGGCCTCCCATTTTCTTCTTCTGTTTGGCCTGCTCTGATTCCTGCTTCCCGCTTTGTGGCCCTGGTCGTGCCCGCACGTCATGGCCTGTGGTGCCACAACCACAACCACAACCACCACAGACACCACTATTACCACCACCACCACCACCACCAGAGGTAGCAGCAGCAGCAGCAGCAGCAGCAGCAGCAGCAGTGAGAGACGCACGGGCACACGATTCTTGGTCGTCCTGGCTGCCACAATAGCATCCTCACAATCTATTACTGTCGTCTCCGCTACCAACACCACCGCCACTACTAATAATATCACTGCTTTCACTACTACTACTACTACTACTACTACTGCTACTACTACTACTGCTACTGCTACTACTGCTACTACCATCGTCGCATCTTCTGCTGCTGCCGCTAGTACTGCTACCGCTGCTGTTGCCGGTAAACCTGCTGATGTAGTCGACGCTGATGCTGATGCTGCGTTCACTCTCTGCAGTGACGCTGGTCAGCAGATCGACGACGACTCATCCTCGTCTCCGTCTCTAAGACGACAGCGGCAGCTCGACCATTCATCGTTATTATCAGCATCATCGTCAGCATCATCAGCATCTTCATCATCATCTTCATCATCATCGCATCTCACAATTACTTGCTCACAACAAGAACAACAACAACAACAACCACCTCACACACAACCACTACAACCACCACAACCACCCGACAATCTGGACCGAAAAGCCTCCCGGCCGCTGGGGCGCCGGGATCATGGCCAGGATTCCGTCGCGAGCGGACGTGATGCCGTCATGACGCGCAGCAAGATGGATGAGGAGGCCGTTGCCGGCATCGTAGTCGGTCTCGTCCTCGGCGTTGCCCTCCTCATCTGCTGCCTGTACCCCATCATCGTCGGCCGCATCAAGAAGCACAGGCGAGCCAAGCACGGCTACACCTCGAACTATCGCGGCGGCCCCTCCATCTTTCTCCGTCGTCTCTCCAGTGGCTCATATAAGCGCGACACCACCGCCACCCCACGCGATAACTGTGACCCGACGACAGCCACCACCGGTCTACAAGATTCATATGCACATGCCCCTGCTGCTGCTGCTGCCGCCGCCGCTGCTGCTGCTGCCACCGCCGCCGCCGCCGCCGCGGGTGACACTGCATCCGTCATCGTCTCTCGCTCGTACGGCCCTCAACAGCAGCCGGCCACCGCATACGTCGACGCTTCTCTGGATCCAAACATCGCCATCGAACCTGTCTCCTTCCATCCCGGCGACGCCTACTTCCCCGACGCCTACCTCTCCAACCCCTTCCCGCCATGCCAATGCACCGTCGGGCCCGACGAGACCCTACCTGTCCAGCAGGTCGTCCTCAAGGGCACGAGCGAGGACTACTACTGTCCTCACATCCCCTCCGAAGCCTTTGGCATGTTCCCGACCCCGGGCTCGCCGTCACCATCCATCTCCGGCTCCGCACCCCAGAAGCCGCCCCGTGTTGCCGCCGCCGCAGGCTCCCGCGTCAGCCGCACACTCAAGGGCATCTTCGGCGGCCACCAGCACTCCTCGCCTCCTCCAGCCGGCGACGACTACGGCTACAGCGGTACCAGGGGTTTTCAGCCAAGCCCGGGGGGCCTCCCGGCCACGGAAGACACCCCCTACATCCAGGCTTCGGTTCAGGAACGTGGCGGTCCCAGTCTCGACCGGGTACTCCCTCAAGACGGCTACACGGTCCTGCACCATCCGCCAGCCGGAGAAGTCAGCCGCGGAGCCTACTACATGCCGCCCCCGTTGCCGGCAGCTAACCACCATCTCCCGTCTGATGCTCCTGGTTTCGCCCCCGTCACCGTCAACCCCATGGATATCATGCCTGCCTCGACCGAATCCGAGCTGTGGCACCGCACCGACTTCCAGATGCTCGCCAGCTCTCACGACTCACAGCAGGACTACGCCAGCCACCCAATGCACAGCATTCAGACCACCGCCCCCCAGTACCTATACGCACCGTCGCCCTCACCCGACACAACCCTACCAGCGGCGGGCGGGCCTCCTCAACCTCAGCCGCCGCCGCCGCCGCCGCCGCCGCCGCCGCCAGAAGTCCGCATCCAACCCTCGCCGGATCCAGACGGCGCTGTCCAGCCGTATCGAGTGAAGCGGGAGTCGACAGGCAGCAACACTGACGGCGGCCTCTCCCTTCCCTCCCACGCACACGCACACGCACACGCACCGCAAAACTCACTGGCAGCCCCTGTACCGTCATTACCGAGCCAGCAGTCCCTGTCGTCGAACCTGGGCAGTACTCACATCAAGTCAGAGCGGTCCACGCCGGGCGCGACACAGGGAGGGTCAGCTTCAGGGTCAGGAGGGGCGGGATCTGCCGGTGCCGCGTCGACGACTACGCACAGTACGCCGTCTAGTCAGATCGACACGGCGTCGCCGGAGTCACAGAACAGCTCGGATTTCAACCAGGCTGCGTCGCCGGGTGCCCTAGGCATTCCTTCGCTCAAGGGGGAGTATTGCTGTGATGAGCCGGGGTGCAACCAGACGTTTGATCAACCTCACAAGCTCAAGTATGTTTACACGGGAAGAGGCTCTGCTACCCCGATACCCTCTCCTATCGATGCACGCACGATGTCATCAGGGTACGTGAGGATGTATAACGCGCTGACACTGATGAATCAGGCACCACCGGAGATATCACAGCAAAGATCACAAGTGCCCGTACCCGACCTGCGGTAAAGGATTCGGCACCAAGACGCACCTGCAGCGACACATCAACGACCGCCACGAGAAGAAGAAGAAGTTCCACTGCTCGATCCAGGGCTGCGATTATTCCAGGGCCGGCGGCAAGGCCTTTCCCCGCAAAGACAACTGGAAGAGGCACATGACCAAGATTCACAGCATGGATCACGATTCACTCCCTGAGCCGGTGGAGATTGATCAAGAGATGGTGGTGCCAGAGGCTTGAGCAAGGATCTGGTCTTGTCGTGGCATATGTTGGTATGTCAGGGCATGTAACAACAACAGCAAAAAAAAAAGAAAAGAAAAGAAAAGGCCAGGGCATAAATGGTCTAGACAAGCATATCACAGGTGTCAAGGACGGCGTATCAAAAAAAAATTATAAAAAAAGGGGGGGCGGAAGGAACAAAGCAAAAGAAAGAAGAAGGAAAAACAAAAGAAACAATTGTTGTGTTTTTTTTATACTAAGCGGGTGGGAATATCCTTTTTTTTCTCTTCTTTTTTTATATCTTACATAAAAAGACAACATGGCATAAGGAGTCTTGGGCGGTTTTACTACTTTATCATAAATGGGTTACGATGAATGGACGGGCGTTTTCTTCAATCTGTTTTTATCAAGGCGAATATCATACAAGGCAGGACCTTTTTCTCTCTTCTACTTCCATTCTCTTCTCCGAAGAACTACTACAAGTACTTTTTTTTCTTTCATTCGGAAGAGGATTGAAACGTATTGTCGTTGGGTTGGAGATGGACTGGACAGGTTACAAGTTGGGTAGTACATGTCTAGACAATATAATAATGGAGTTCACTCGAGATGAAACAGAAAAGAAAAGAAAAAATGAATATGCCAGCCATGGGCTCCGTTACAATTATTATTTTCTTTTTTTTTAAAAAAAAGAAGAAGAAGAAGAAGAAATTTGACGGGGAGGGGGGGGGGGGGGGGGGGGGGGGGGGGGGGGGGGGGGGGGGGGGGAAACAACCAGGCTGATATCACAACGATGGCGACATAAGGAGAGAAGAGATGAAAGAAGGACGACAGGACAAGAATATCAACTGGTATCCCGTAGCAGCTTCCTAGCAAGTTTCCTCTGGTCGTCGACGGTCAAGGCACGCTCATCCGTCTCCCGCACGGCCCTGCCGACGATGACGACGGTCTTTGCGCTCTCGCTGTCGACCCAGATGCGGCCGTTCCTGCCGACGGCGGTCTCGAACTGCAGGCCGGCCGAGGCCAGCTCTTCGAGCACCACGACGGCGCTCCCGGGCTGCCTGGCGGCGGCGGCGGGGGAGAGCATGAGCCTCCTCGCCATGCCGAGCGAGATGGGGAAGAGCATGCCGCCGACCAGCGGTCCCAGCCCCTCCGACTTGCCTGTCGAGGGGTGCACGCACTCGAGCTCGGCGTCCATGTGGCGGTCGGCCATGCTGACGCGGGCGTAGACCAGGGCGCCCGAGGCCAGCTGCGGGCGCGTCTTCTTGCTCGCGGACTCGAACGACAGGTGAGGGAGGAGGGCGGGGGAGGTGTGATCCGACAGGGAGACGACGAAGCTCTCCGCTGCGCTGTGACGGACGATGCCGATGACCAGCTCGCCTACGCGGGGGGTATACTGTTGAGGAAGAAATAAAAGAGTGAAGGACTCGTCAGAGGGAAGAGAAGAGGGAGAAGAGAGAGGGGCTGGAGGGAAGACATACCCTTCCCGAATAAGTTTCTACCCTGATGGCATTCTTCTGATGATCCGTCACCAATCGTCCTGCTAGTGTGGGGATCACATCGTTGGGAGGAGCGTGACGGAGACCGGGACCGAGTCGTAGGGCCTTTTTCGGGTGGGATGGGACGAGGGAAGGATCTATCTCGTCGCCTGGGAGGACGAATATCGGTTCGGAGGACATTGTGGGAGTTGTTCAGGTGTATGTATATATTGGCATAGTATTGGTAAAAACAAAGAGGAGAAGAGGAGAAGAAGAAGAAGGAAGACAAAGAAGCGTCAATTGGTAAGATAATTTGTCTTTATTGTACGTGGGGGAGGCTCAACCAAGGAAAAGAAATAAATGATAATAACCAACAACCTTATCTAATCGGGGTGGTTTTTTTTTTTTCGATTTCTCCCTCTCTCTCTCCCCCACCCCCTCCAAGTGCGTGCTGACCTTGCACGGATTGATTTTTTATTTTATTTTATTTTCCTGAATTTTCTCGTCTCTTAGGCTCAGAACTTCCCCCACCTCTAAAACATCTCCCTCTTTTTTTTTTCTTCTTCCTTTTTATTCGAATCTTTCACCCTCACCGGACGAACGAACCTCTTGGGAAATTTGCGCCTCTCTCTCCCTCCCTCTCTCCCCCTCTCTCTCTCTCTCTCACTGTCCATACACCGTGAGCCCGAGTATCTCCTTCTTTCCCCCCCTCCCTCCCTCTTCTTCCTCCGACCGACCCTATGGCTCAGAACAGCTCCGGCCCCGAGCCCAGCGACAGGGTTGCCATCGGTATCACCTTCGGTAACTCCAACAGCTCCATTGCCTACACGATCGACGACAAGGCCGAGGTTATCGCCAACGAGGATGGAGGTATGTTTCTTCTTCTGAAAGGGGAATGATGATGAAAATTCCATCTTCATGGGATCTCTTCTGAAAGATTGTTTTTTTGTTTCCAGGACAGGAAGGATACTGATACTAATAATGCCCACGAACAGACCGTCAGATCCCCACCATTCTGTCTTACGTCGATGGAGAAGAGTACTACGGTGCTCAGGCCAAGGCTTTCCTCGTCCGCAACCCCAAGAACACCATCTCCTACTTTCGCGAATTCCTAGGTCAAGAGTACGTATACCCCCCTCGTCTCCATTCACCTCCATACACACACACACGCACACACAAATATATACATATATATGTATACATATATATGCATACGCCATGGGGAGAAGTGCCCTCCCCCTCATAGACGTCACCAACTAACGACCCCGCCGCACAGCTTCAAGTCCATCGACCCTACCCACTGCCATGCCGCTGCCCACCCCGAGGACGACGCCGGCGGCGTATCCTTCAAGGTGCAGGACAAGGCTGGCGAGGAGACCCCCTCGACCGTGACCACGTCAGAGGCTTCGACGCGCTTCCTGCGCCGCCTGGTGACGTCAGCCTCGGAGTACCTGGGCAAGAAGGTGACGTCGGCCGTGGTGACGGTGCCGACAAACTACTCGGACAAGCAGCGCGAGGCGCTCGTCAAGGCGGCCAAAGACGCCGACCTGGAGATCCTGCAGCTCGTGTCGGACCCAGTGGCGGCCATCCTAGCCTACGACGCGCGCCCCGAGGCCAAGGTCGAGGACAAGGTGGTGGTGGTGGCCGACCTGGGCGGCACGCGGTCCGACGTGGCCGTCGTGGCGTCGCGCGGCGGCATGTACACGGTCCTGGCGACATCGCACGACTACGACTTTGCCGGCGTGCACCTGGACAACGCGCTGATCGAGTACTTCGCCAAGGAGTTCATCAAGAGCCACAAGACGGACCCGCGCGACAACGCCCGCAGCCTGGCCAAGCTGCGCCTCGAGTCCGAGGCCACCAAGAAGGCCCTCAGCCTGGGCACGAACGCCCAGTTCAGCGTCGAGAGCCTGGCCGACGGCATCGACTTTTCCATGACGGTCAACAGGATACGCTACGAGACGATCGGCCGCAAGGTCTTTGAGGGCTTCAACCGCCTGGTCGAGGGCGTCATCAAGAAGGCCGGTCTCGACGTCCTCGACGTCGACGAGGTCATCATGTGCGGAGGCACCTCGCACACCCCCCGCATCGCCAACAACCTCCGCGGCATCTTCCCCGAGACCACCACCATCCTCGCCCCCGCCACCAGCACCTCGGCCATCAACCCCTCGGAGCTGCAAGCCCGCGGCGCCGCCCTCCAAGCCTCCCTCATCCAGGAGTACGAGTCCGCCGACATCGAGCAGTCGACCCACGCCGCCGTCACCACCGTCAAGCACACGGCCAACGCCATCGGCGTCGTCGTCTCCGACGGCTCCTCCGACGTCTTCGCCCCCGTCATGGCCTCCGACACCGCCGTCCCCGCCCGCCGCACCGTCCACATCCCCGCACCCGCCGACGGAGGCGACGTCCTCGTCAAGGTCGTCGAGGGTGGAACCCACATCAAGGTCACCAAGCCCGAGCCCAAGGTCAAGGAGAACAAGGACGGTGACGACGACGACGACGACGACGACGATTCCGACTTCGACTCGGACGACGAGGATGAGGAGAAGCGCGAGAAGGAGTGGACCATTGGCAATCTGCTCGCCGAGGCTGCCGTCCGAGGCGTCAAGAAGAATGGAAAGGTCGAGGTCACGATTAACGTCCAGGCCGACCTGAGTGTCACCATCACCACGCGCGAGGTTGGCGCCAAGACTGGCATCCGTGGCACTCTGGAAGGTCAGTAAAAAAAATTAAATCAAAAATTAAATCAAAAAAGGGGGGGTAACTTTCTTCCGGAGGGGGGAGGGGTCTTTTTTTCATCTTTTTATTTTTTTTTAAAAAAAAAAAGGATTATGTCTCTCCTATGTTTTATCACTCACGAAATGAACGTATGACGTGGAAAGGGAAAAAAAAATTCAGGAGAGAATATAAGGGGTTTAGATGTATGGTACACTAAAAGAAGAATAGAAGAATGATTTTTTTATATAATTTTTGTTCTTCTTTTTCTATAAAAAAAAATGTATACCATATAGACATGATGTTTCATAGTAAGCAAGGTAGGACTGAAACACACACATACACACACACACTGTTCTTGTATAAATGGATTTTTCAATAATGCAAAAGTAGACGAAAATAGAAAGACAGACGTCGACACGACTAGACAAAGTGTGAAGAAGGAAAGCAAAACGTCAAGACGGCAACTTCCACGCCACAAGATCATCCCTGAGCTCACCCTCGCCAACCTCCCGCGTCGTCGTTCCAGACCCGACACTCACATCGTCACTCTGGCTGAAACTCATCATGCTAGTGCTCCGACTGAGTCTGAGGTGTGGTGGGTCCCTCTCATCGTCTGGAAGTGGCATGCGAAGGTGCACCTGCTGATGCTGTTGCTGCTGGTGTTGGTGGTTTGCATTCTTGGCACCGCCGCCGCCAGCAACGGAACGTCCAGCACGCCCGGTGACGGTGGCCACGCTCTTGGCGCTGGTCGAGCTGCTCCCTCGTTTGTGCTGTCGGTGATGAGCCTTGTGGCTGGTGCCCGTAGTCTGCTGGACATGATGACGGTGGTGGCCGTGCATATGGCGGAGGTCGCTGGGACGAGGGGTGTTGGGGGAGGCTCCTGCGCCTCCGGCTGCGGCGGATTCGTTGCTGTCCAGCCCGTCCATGTCGCCGCTGGAACTGGAGTCGCTCCCGTCGTCACGCTGCGTCCTCCACCCGTTTCCTCCCATGAAGATGTCCTCTATGCATTCATCTGCCGGAAGCTCGGTGGGCAGACGGCACCACGAGGCTGCCAACACGCGACGATATAGGTCGTGGACGTCGGCTGAGTCTTGAGCCTTGGCGAATGTGGGGGTGGCTCGGAGGAGGTTAGATTTTTGAGGAAAGGGGGGGGAGGGGAGAGAAAGGAGGTGGGACTTACAGCTGACTTCTTCTTTGGCTTGCTGCTGCTGCTGCCGTTGCTGCTGCTGCTGCTGCTGCTGCTGCTGCTGCTCGTGGGTGGGCTCGTGCGGCACGATGCCGGCTATGCCTGAGAACGTCGTGGCTGTCTTGAGAGGCGGTGCGGAAAAATTTCGGTCACCGTCCACCTGGACCATGAGTATACTGAGCTTGAGGGTGCTGTTCACCTTGCTGTCCTGCAGGAGATAGCGTCGGACGATTCCCTCGGGGGGCTCGCCGCCGGCACCGACACTGGTACCCAGCGAGGCGTGCCGGCTGGTGGGACTAACATCCGGACTGTCGCCTGCTCCTCCCGCTCCTCCCGCTCCTCCCGCGCCTCCCGCGCCTCCTGCGCCTCCTGCTCTGCGGGAAGCGCTATCTCTGCGGCCGTTGATGATGAGCTCGCTCTCGGTGACGTACTCGCTCAGGTTGAGCTTGACCACGCCCAGGGTGAGCTTGTCGCCGGACGAGAACTCCTGCAACACCTCGAATTCGGCAGGGCAGTCGGTCAGGTTGTTGGACTTGTCCACCGAGATGCGGATGTTTTGCACGTGCTTGCTGTAGCCGTAGTCAACGTGATGGTTGATGACCGGGCTTTTTGCCGTGCGACCGCGGTGCTCGGCGTGTATCGAGTGCGCGAGGTGCCATTTGATGGTCGACCTGCCCGACACGAGGGGCACATTGTTCAGGTCGTAGATCTGTTCGTCCCCATTTCTCTCTCTTTTAGTCACTGGCGGCAGATGCCGTGTTGTTTGAATGAAGATCTCACCTTGAGATATAGCTCAAATCGGGGCTAGAAACACATCTATATCAGTACCCCTAGCTGGTGAGAGGATGTGTGAGAGAGAGCGGGATGCGTTGTTATACCTTACGGCCCTTGCCAACTATTCTAGATGTCAGTATTTCTTTGCCCTTCATTTTCCTTGTCCTTCTTTTCCAAGTGTATGGTTGAATGGATGTAAGGAGGGACAGGAAACTCACTTAAGGACTCCATGCCCCTCTAGATCATGCCAGCGCCAGTGGCCATTGAGTCAATCTGTGTGTATCTGGTCTGCGTGTCGCGCCTCTGCCGCCTATCACATGCAGAGGCCACGTAGAACCCTTGGACGACCGTTTCGAACCCTTGTTACCCGAAAGGTAGCGTTCGGATACCTGCCGTCTCGTCTCACAGTAGCAATTCACCAGAAGGGGTAGAGATCAGGTAGCTGAGGGAGCCGGCCAGGAGTAAGCAGGCGAGTTGCGGCAAGGATAGGACAGGGTGTGCCTCGTCTTTCCAAAAAAGAAAAAGAAGAAGAAGAAGAGGAAGAGGAAGAAGTTTCAAAGGACTGGTGCACAGCGATAAAGAGAGCACTTTGATGATGAAGCCAAGTTGATGACAACCATATCGACGAACCCCCTCTGACGTTATTGCTAGTAGTACCGGGTATCCCTGGTACTTTCCTTGACTAGCAGGACGCTTCCATTATCGATAAGCCCCAACGACGACCATTTTCTTTCTTTTGGAGCTCTTCAACATTCACGACACTGAAAGAAGGTAAAAGAGAGAAGAAAAAGGCAAGATTCCATCGCAGCCAAACCTGCTACGCACAAATCGCGGACCCAGTTTGTTTGTGCTGACAAAGCCAGCCATGGGCCCCAAACCGGGCAATGACGGAGGCTCGGCCCCCAATAACAAGCGCAAAGCTGGCGGCGGCGGCGGCGGCGGATCACAACCTCAGCAGCCCGGCCGCAGCAACAAGTTCCAGCAACGACGCGCCCAAGTTCAAGCTGCCCGCGTCATCCCTGCCCAGAATGCCGACGCGGCCCTCAGCAAGGACGGCGAGCTTGACCTGCAGGCCTTCGTGGCCGCCCACGAGTTCGAGATCCGGTCGCTGGAGCAGAGCATGGCCACGTCCAAGGCCGCAGGGACGAGCAGGGCCTTCCAGCAGGTTCCCCGAGGTCTGCGCCGCCGAACGGCCAGCCACAACCCCAAGCGCGTTCCGAAGCGACTCAGAGCACGCGCGCTGAGGGAGATGGACGAGGACAACACCCCCACGGTCGAATCCCGCAAGCGCAGGCCCGGCACGACGAGGGCGAGGATACGTGCCGAGACGGCAAAGAAGCTTCGCGTGCTGGCGGCGCGGAAGAGGAAGAAGAAGGACAAGAAGGAGCGGCAGCAGGAAGACGGGGATGCCATGGAGGACGAAGACGGCAAGGTCACCGAAGAGCGCAAGGATCCTGCTGCGACCAAGACCCCGAGACCTCCCAAAATCCGCCGAAACGCCCTCAACGACCCGCCCGAACCCCCCTCCCGATTCAAGAAGAGACAGCTCAACAAGACGTGGCTCCCCACACACGCGTGGCATGCCAAACGGGCACGCATGACGCCCCCGAAGGAGCCGCTCTGGGGCTTCTCCATACCCACCACGCCCAACGAGAAGATCTACAGGCCCGTCCACAGGGCGCAGGGCGACCGCGGCGCCGTCGTGTGGGACGTGAGCTACGTGAGCACCATCGGTCTATACGGTAACTCGGCCGGTATGGAGAGGGTCCTACGGCGCATAGGCGTCTCTCAGGATGCCTGCTGGAACAACAAGGGGAGGAAGTGGCGGGCAGGAAGCCGGAGCTGGTCGGGCATGCTGGCGAGAGCGACAAAGGATGGCGGCCGACGGCAGATGTGCCCAGGGACCATCTTCTGGAACCCGGCAGCTGCCGAAGATGAAGCACAGCGTCAGCGTGATTCCGCCAAGACGGGGGGAGGGGCCCAGGAGGGGAAGCCCAGGAGAGAGAAGCGGGAACTGTTCATAAGGGTACACCCAGCATCGTTCAAGGAGGTTTTTGACGAGCTCCTCCGCCTGGCCAAGATGGAGACACCGCAGCTGTACATCGAGGACCTGCGCTACCAGGTGGGCAGCATCGACATCTCGGGCCCGGCATCGACAGAAGTGCTCCTGTCCGTCCTGACGCCCTACGCGACCAAGTCGAAGCCCAAGACGAAGCACGCAGAGCTCTTCCAGTCCCTCAGGGGCCTGACCAACCCGGGTGCGCTACCGGACCGGGCCATGCTAGGCTTCTCCATCCAGGATCCCCGACTGCGGTATCCGCCGCGCAGGCCGACGGTGCCCGAGGGCGAAGATGCAGAGATGAGCCTGATGGAGACGATAGCCTCATGGCCGGCCGAGGACGGTCTGCGACCGCACGGCATATTCGACCGGCAGGCCCGCCACTCGGCGTCCTGCCTCCCCTCGCAGAAGGTGATCAACCGGCGTCGGCGCAACGCCAGTCCGGGATCCTTCCTGAGACCGTGCCTGGCCGATCCGGCCATCCCGGTGGTCCTCCTCGCCAGCCGCTCCGGCTCCGCCACCCAGTCCCAGGGCACCTGGACCCTCCTGGCGCCGTGGGCGTGCATCATGCCGCTGTGGTACAGCGTGGTCCGCTGCCCGCTCTCATCGGGGGGCAACCCGCGCTTCGCCGGCCTGGCGGAGACGCGCCAGGTCGCCTTCGAGAGGGGCCTGCCGTGGTTCCCCGCCGACTTCCCCGCCACGGACGCCGGCGTCCGCTGGGAGCGGGAACAGAGGGCCAGGCGCCGCAAGACGTGGGGCCGCAGGCCGAAGAGCAAGAGGATCGAGTGGCACAGCGTGGACCTGGGGGCCGGCAGGAAGGGTGAGGTGGGCGACGGCCTGGCATGCGACTACGAATGCCTCTTTCAGCTCGACGGGGGCAACGTCCCTACAGGTGACGCCGGCTCCGAGGAAGCCATGGACGTCGATGCCGCCCCGCAACCCCCCAAGGATGACCCCCTCTCCTCACTCAGCCATGCCACCCTGAGCACCAGCAGCAACGGCGGCAGCAGCAGCCCCCATTCCCTTCTGACGGTGCGCATCTCCCTCCTATCCCGAGGCACAGTCGGCCCCTGCGCAAGGATCTACAGGCTACCCCGTGCACCGCCAGAGCCGGAGGCCGCATCCCCGGACGTCCAAGTCCCCGCCACCATCCCCCGGTCGTCGTCCCGACGTCTCCTGCCGCACGACCTACGCACCCAGTGGCTCAACCGTGCGGCTGCCAGCATCACCGCCACTGCCAAGTCAGACGGCAACGAAGACAAGGTCGAGTACAAGGGCAAGCACAAGGAAGTAGACTCGCGTAAACGCCAACTGGCCAGGCGTCTACTCATGGACCCACCGCAGCCGCTCGACTGGCCTAAACCGAACGTCGCGGACATTGGAGGGCACCACCCCCTCGTCCCCGACGCGGAGGACCTGATCGGCTTCGTCACCACGGGCTCGTACTGTCTTACCCGGGGGAGGGGCGCGGCCATCGGCAGTGTTGCGGCCGATAGGCTGGAGGGGAACAAGGCCGGTCGTCTTTGTATTGTGCGGAATGCGGGGGAGAATGTCGGGTGGATCGCCAAGTGGGAGGAAGCTGTGGTGTGAATTGTATGTTATCCGGTATACAAGATATCCAGTCACGCATGTATGTGCTCCAGGTTTCCTTGGCTCTAACCCGTCTTCTGACGAATAGACAGGGTAGAAGACTTTGGGATGTGGTGTGGCGGGATTTGGTGAGCAAAGGGCGTAGATGACTTTTGACAGGTTTTATTTTAAAGGGTGCACCACTTGCCTCTCTTCACTATGCCTCTTTTTTTCTTTTTGATCTTCATTCTTCTTCCTCCCAATTTCCTCTTTTTCATCCAACAAATACAACGATTTCTCCTACTACTCACTACAGGACAGGAGAAGAAGAAAAGAAGAAGACCATGACTTCCGTTGTACATGGCGGCTGTCTATGCCAAGGCGTCCGATATAAGATAACGTTCCCCCCAGACCACGACTTTACCAAATATGTATGACCTCACTGTCTTGTCTTGTTTTAAAAGGAGATCTTTTCCTTCTTCTCCTTCCTTCTTATTACCCCTCTTACTCTTCCGAGAGGGAGAGAGAGAGAGAGAGAGAGAGGAAAAGCTGACAGATAATCATCCTCAAAAGTCCTCAACATGCCAATGCGAGCAGTGCCGCAAGAACTCTGGCTCCCTGATCGTCACCGCGCACAAGATACCCACCCACTACATGACGTACACGCGCGACACGACGCTGCGGCGGTTCTATGCCACGCCCGGCGTGGCTCGCAGCTTCTGCGGCGAGTGCGGCGGCATGCTCTCGTGGCGTCGCGAGTCGTCCGGCACGGTGAGCGTAGCCGTGGGGACGATCGACAGGGACGACCTCAAGGCTTGCCGTGGCGGGCTGTCGCTTGCCGTGGCGTCTACCCATATCTGGTGCGCCGAGGAGATCCCGGGGGTGACGGATAACACGAGGGGTCAGAAGTGGAAGTACGGTGATGGCGGGGAGAGGATGTGACTTTTTTGGAGTCTCTCTGAAATCGGCTTGTCACTCAATGTAGTTTTTTTCTTCTTCTTTCACTTCTTCTTTTTTTCCTGTCATTTTCCTGCTTTTATTATATATATATATATATATGTGTGTGTGTGTGTGTGTGTATATATATATAATTGTCACTGAGCCTCCATCGACTTCAGGAAGAAAAGAAAGAAAGGAGATAAAGAGGTTAGGAGAGAAGAGAAGACAGGAGAAGAAGAAGAAGTAGGGAAAAACAATTGGTATATCTCCTTTGCCTTGAACTGGACGGAAACAAAAACGCCTACCCTCGCCATATGTTGGCTCGCAGAGAAAGAAAGCAAAGGCTACTTGTTGCTAAAATATGATAAAAAAAATGGAAGAAGGGGTTGGAGAGTTGAAGACCGCCTTGGAATCAGGATCAATCCTCCTCAGAAATCTCACTCTCATCACCATCACCACCAGCCGGCGTACCGGTATTACTCATCTCCACAGCCTCAAAGGCCTCTTCGAGATCCTTTTCCAAATCATCCTCCAAATTGGGACTGGCAGGTTCCGGCTCCGGCCTCTGCTGCTGCTGCTGCTGCTGCTGCTGCTGGCCATACGAGCCCTCATCGTCATTGTCGTCATCGTCGCCGTCGTCGTCGTCGTCGTCATTGTCATCGTCATCTTCCTCATCAGACTGCTGTCGATTGCTCTGATTGACAGGGCTGGGGAGCCTGAAACTCGCATCGGGTTCCTCTGCGCTCTCGCCATCCGCATCGTCCGCCTCGGACTCGCGCTGGTCCATGAACTCGTCGAAGCGGCGCACGGAGGGGAAGGCGGGTGAGAAGTCGCGGTTCTGCGACTTGGGTCCGCCGTCCGGGTACTCTACCAGCAGGAGGTCGTCTGCCTCGTCTTCCTCGTCCTCCTCGTCGACGGGGCGGGACTTGCCATTGCTGCCGCTCTTGGGCTTGGGCTGAGGCTTGGACTTGGGCTTGGCTGGCTTGGACTTGTCTTCCTGCGGCAGGGCGAGGCTCACATTCGCCGTCGACTTCTTCTTCTTGTCGGCGGCGGCGGCAGTCTGCTTACGAGCGGGGGCGGCGGTGGTGGTCTTCTTTGTGCTGTCGGCAGCCTTGGCCTTGGTGCCGCTGCTGTTTGCCGGTGCCGATGCTGCCGCGCCACCACCACCGCTACCTCCTCCGGCTCCGACGGACTTGGTGGGTTTGATGGATATGCTGCTGTCGATGTGGGGGTGCTTCTTGGCCAGACTCTCCGGGTCGCTGTTGGTGGGGGTGCGCGTGAGGTTCATGTGGAAGGTGGAGTCGAGACGGTCGAGGACGAAGACGTCGCGGCCGGGGTCGAAGTACAGGACGTACTGGCCGTCGCCGATCGTTCGGGTGCCGGCAAAGGCGTACTCGGTCGATCGTCCGTCGGCTCCCGTAAAGGACATGTCGTACGAGCTTGTCTGTCCCGGGGTCGAGGGTTTGAGGCGAGCGGTCCGGTCAGAAGACGGATCAGGCTTGTGGTTGTCTGTTTCTGTCGTCAGCCTCCCTCTCTCTCTCGCTCCCTCTCTCTCTCTCTCTCTCTCTCTCTCTCTCTCTCTCTCTCTCTCTCTCACGCTCACACATCATCTGGCCTGTACATCTGTCGGGAGGAGGAAAGGGAAGAAGACTGGGGAAGAGACGTACATCGAACTCCGGTAAAGATCTCGGTAGCCTCCTTGCCTAGGAGCCTATCGCTCAGGACGACGGGATAGTTCCCCGTCTTGGTCGGGTCGATGATCTTGCCGGCCATGGTTCACAGTTGGCCAGCAACAGCTGGGCTGTGTATGTAGTATTCTTCTCTTCTTCTTCTCGTCTCCGAAAATAAAAAGGAGAAAAAAAACTTGATTTTTCTTCCTCTGTGTGTGTGTTTGTCGACGACGCGGCGTCTCGGTCGGATCAATGCAGCGGTTGCTGTGTACCGGGAGGGAGAGAGGGGGCGTGTCTGTGTCTGTGCGGGAATGCCGAGAAGCTGGTGATGAGGCTCCGGTATAGAGTTCGCCGTCGTGGTCTGTTGGTGACGACGAGAGTGAG